ATATATATATCATAGTAGTTTGAGCAAAATGCCCCCATATTCTCATTCTCAGGCATTTGAATGTTTGGTCCCCAGATGATGGCCCTGACTGGGTAGGCTCAGGAGGTATGGCCTTGCTGGAGGAAGTGTGTCATCGGGGAGCTTAAAGACGAGTGCCATTTTGAGTTTGCTCTCTCTGCTTCCAAATCAAACTCTTCCTTCTATAATTTTCCTTGGTTATGGTATTTTATCATAACAGAAAAGTAACTAAGACACACACACACACACGCACGCACGCACGCACGCACGCACGCACGCACGCGCACTAACCAACCACTACAGAAACAGAGGCCTTGACTTTGAGATGGAACAAGAGGGTGAGTACATGGATAGGGTTGAGAGGGAGGCAAAGGAAGGGGAAAACTAAGCAATTACATTTTAATTTAAAAAATAAAACATAAAATAATTTTAAAGGGATAAAGCAAGCTGAGTACCAGCATTTCTCTCTCTCTCTGCTTCCTGATTGTGTACCCAGTGGGACCAGTTACCTCAGGTGCCTGCTGCCATGCCTGCCCTACGGTGCTATATACACTGCACCCCTAAAACATGACTCGCATCTTCCTTCCTGAAGCTACACAGCAGGGACTCTGGCCCTCTGAGCCATCTCTGCAGCACCCACACACACACACACACACACACACACACACACACACATTTAATCTTCGCCAAGAGCCTCTAAATTCCAAGCACATACGCACCATCTTATTTACAAGGCCCCAAAGAAGGCAGTCAACAATGCGTCATGCTTCCACATGACGCACTTCAGGTGAACTTTGGGGTGTTCTTTTAAATCACTGGCAACTCAGGGCTTCCAGGGTTATGTGAATTTCTCAACACCAGAGAACAACTTTTAACCAAATCAACAGGCTTGCTGGAAATGACAAGAGGGTTAAAGGGCAAATGACCTTGGAACTATGGAAAAAGAAAACTATCTTGATTCTATTTTCTGACGTCACAACCCTAAGAGCAAAGAAGTACTACGTTTTCACATTTGCCAGGATAGATTCACTCCACTTTTCTATTCCCCAACCAAACTTTAAAACAAAAAGAAACGTTCTTCTTTAAGAAATTTTTTAAATGCATTCAAACCACCAAAGCAGAGTTCCAGGAACTCAAAGCAGCCTGGACTTTGTAGTTTTTCAGGATTTATGGTATTGTATGTATACGCAGTGTGTGTGTGTGTGTGTGTGTGTGTGCGTGCGCGCACACGCACACACACACACACACACACACACACACACGCAAGCATGTATATGTGTGTATGCACACATGTGTCAAGGCCAGAAGAGTGTGTTGCAGATCCAGAGCTGGAGTCACAGGTGGTGAGCCACCTGACACAGGTACTGAGATCACACTCAGTCTTCTGCTCTCCACTGGAGCCATCTCCCCAAGCCCCAGACTTTTTGTGGCTTTCGGTACAGAACTATCATTCAAGTTTCTTTTAGTCCAAAAAAAAAAAAAAAAATCTTGGCCCTTTCAAGTACACTAGAGGAGGTATATTTAATGAGCACAGTGTTACATAGTATTTTCCCAAGTTCAGTCTTGCTGCGCCTCTGTAATTATCTAAATTTTACACGTGGAAACCGGGGCACAAAGACAACCCGCCTGAAAGCCTCAGTGGGATTTGAATCACTTCACACTGCAAAAGGCACGCTCAACTTGGGAGTGGTCTTCCTCACTATTCACATTCTCAGGCCTTTTCTAACAACACACATTCACATTCAACGCTTTCTAAAGCACTCTAAACAGCAAATGGACTTAATGAAGCATGTCATACTTTGGGCTTGGCCCTTTAAGTTCCTTAGCTGTCTTTCCAACAAAATATTGATTCGGCTACAGTTTGGTCCTATCCAATCTCATGAGGCGTGCTTCAGAGTTCTTATGTTCATATTTCCCTAGTTATGGATTCCAGAGTTTTACGAAAGTTTTGAAGGGAAAACACGTGTAATCTCACAAGCTGAGTACTCAAAATTCTTAGGTAAAGCCTTCAGTTCAGAAGACGCACCGGCTTCATCCACCTCGAGAGCCTGAAAGCAGGAGAGTTTACCATGCAAGAACACAGAGTTGAGGGGTCCCCAGCCTAGCCAGGCACTCTTGTCAGTGCCAGGCCAGCCAGGGCTTGCTACCTGGGCAAGGAGGGGGGCTGCCCATTTTCCCGTGCCCTCCTCCACCCCCGCACTTTCTGCATCCCTGCATCCTAATCTGTACCCGCAACTCCGGCGTCCTTGCATCCTAACTCGTCCCCTCTTCCCTTGCAACCCCGCATCCTCCCCCATGCACGCACAGTCCCAGAAGCGTCCAGAGCCGAGGGACTTTGCAAGCTCAGGCGTGGGGCACATCTGCCCTGACGCCCATCCTGCCCCACAGGAGCGCATCCCTCACCGGAGCCCGCAGCCCCAGCACACCCGGCTGGAGGCGGCGCCCGGGAGCGGAGGGTAAGAGTGCGCGCGGGCGCTGAGCCCAGGCCCGGCCCGCGGGGACACCCGGGACATGCTAACATGAAGGTCACCCCGGTGAGGCCCAGCCCGAGATGCTCGCTCACCATCCGCGCGACGTTTGGGGCACACCGCCGGAGGGTGCCTGCTTCCTCTGAGACGGCAGCACCGGCGGACGGGGTCCGCAGGAGGCGACGCGAGCGGGCGAGGAGTCGGAGTGCTCGGTACATGGTGCTGCGGAAGGTGGGAGGAAAGCGGAGCCTAAGCCACGCCCCCTGGAGACGTCAGAGCCCGACCGCTCTCATGCCCAATCAAACGCCTCAGCCTGAGCTTGTGGGGAGGTCCTAACCATGACTGGCCAATAACAACTTAGGGGGTGGGTTGACTTCCCCGGGCGTGCAGTGAGGCTGTTTGAAGTCCTCAGGTTTATGGGAAACTAGTGAGGAAGGAATTATGGGAAAAGAGATGAGATGGGCGGGCCTATCTTTCCGCAATATTTTTAAGCCGGGGCTGCTAGGAGGCGGGATTTCTAGCTGGTGGCGCCTGTGGTGCTAGGTCTGTGCAATAGCTTAGAATGAACGTGTTATCAAGTTATTATTTATCATGCAACCACCCATGATATGAACCCGTTTCTTTCAAATCCTGCCTTCCTAAAATTTTCTAGAAGTTTTAGAAACTGCCGCGAACTTTAGACAAGGAAGTAGTTATTGTCCCATCACTTAAGGTTGCTTTTGATGGTCATGTTGGAGTCAATTTTCCTGTTTTTTTAACATGTGCTCCGATAACGTTTTTTTAATGTGTCCACAGTCTTTGGATGTTCTTTGTGGTCACTGGTTAATGTATACGCTTTTAGGCTAAGAAAAGCATATTGATTTAATGATGATGAGTGATATAAAATAGCATCTGAGCCATCATTTTAACCATTTTAATCTCTTCTTTTAGCTTTCTATTGCGGAGCCAGAGGACAGTTTAAAGAGAAAGTTTTTCGGGGTATGGTGGCTCCAATGTATAATCCAGGTATTCTACAAACCACTGTAGGGAGGTGTTGAATTCGAGAACAACCTGGACTTCATAGTGAGCCTGCCATGAACCTGAATGGTAGCATTGGCTTGCAATCTCAACACTTCAGAAATGGGGGTATAAAGTACAGTAGTTCAGGGTCATCCTTGGCTACACAGTGAGTTTGAGGCCAGCCTGGGATACAGGACACCCTGTCTCAAAATAAGACACATGAAATAAAATAGTAAGTAAGAATGCGACTAATAATTGAGCTAAAATCAAAATGCTTAAACCAGTATCAATTTTTCAGACCTCAGTATCGGTCTCTTTCCTCTCTCAACTAATGGTTGAGAAATTTCTAGAATATTTGATGAAAAGGTGAAACCAAGTTTGCCTTAAAAGTTAGGCTAGAAAAAAAAACAAAGCATTAGGATAAAGTCTAGTCATATAAAGTAGTGAACCTCCTACCCAAGTGTTTAAACTTTCACCATTAAAGGGCAGCCACAAGTTAATTGTGAAGACAGTGGAGTGTGTGTGTGTGTGTGTGTGTGTGTGTGTGTGTGTTATGAGTTTGAGAGGAATTTGTTTAGAGGCATGGGTCAGAGTTCATAGGGCACTTGCTGAAGTTTTCAGGTTCATGTGTCTCAGAAGGAATTGAAGCAGAGACAAATGGATAGTGATAGAAATACAGACTGTTTAGGAAGAGAAGGGGAAGACACTTTCCAAAGTGGGGGTGGGCTACAGAGCTAGGACAGGTTCCCCAGTCTCTTTATATGCTCATGTACATGCTCTGATTTTTACATGCAGCCTACAGTGACTGTGTGTGTGTGTGGGGGGGAACTCCAGGGTTCCAGTTAAATGAAAAAAAAATGAAATAAAAGGAGAACATGACTACTTCTAATGGAAGCCCAGATCCGAGGAAGAAGATGTGTAGGGTAGGGTCAGGGTGAGAAGTACTGGGAGGAGTCAAAGGTACTGAGGGATGCTGGGAGAGCTGGCCAGTATCCACTTTGATATGTAAATAAGCACCTCAGCCGTTTGTCAGGGTTTCTGAAACATAACACCAGTCTTCTTCTGCTATTAGTTTATTTTACCTGTGATCTTGAGTCTCTTTCTCCTTGTCCTACTCTCCTGCTACAAAATAACAAACATTTATCATTCTTGTCATTTCCTCGGAAATGGTAACATTGTGTTTGTTCCATACCCTTAATGAAATAGAAGATACTTTTCTAAACTTGAATGTCATTTTCTTCTCTGCCTTCCCAGAGGCTCTCATTTTCTTCATACCTGTCTTTCCAGTTCATCAGTGTATGTTGCTTCAGTCACTAAAACACAAGCAACGGTTTTACAACTTCATTTCAGGCCTGGTATGATGGTGCACCCTTTAGTCCCCACACTAGGGAGGCAAAGGGCTTGTGTATTTCTGTGTGTTAAATGCTACTATGGTCTACACAGTCAGTTCTAGGACAATCAGAGCTATATAATGAGACTCTGTCTCAAAAAAAAAAAAAAAAAGTAATTTGGAGGCCAACATCAGGCAACATAGATCCACATAAAACCTGAAAAAGCATTTAAAAGAAGTTCCAAACACACAAAAATGGAGTTAAACACAGCATCTTGGTAACCACCTTTTCTCAGGTAAGCTCTGTCTTATGATATATTGTGTGTGTGTGTGGGGGGGGGGGTGTTGGGGTTATGCTTTTATTTCCTCAGGAAATGAGACGGTATGGATTCATTCCAGGTTGATATGGATCATGTTTGATCAAGGAAGACCCCCTCAAAATCCTGACTATGAACAGAGATAAACCTAAAAAAAAAAAAAAACTACAAGACATGTTATGTATATTTTACCTGCTCAAATATAAAACAAAAATCATCTTTAACTGACTTTTGCACACCACATATTATGGTGATATTTTATTTGTACTGATTTTATTTGTATGTTAATAAATAAAGTTGCCTGGGGGTCAGAGCTAATAGCAAGCCATAGCAGAAGCTGGGCGGTGGTGATGCGCACCTTTAATTCCAGCTCTTGGGAGGCAGAGCTAAGCAGATCTCTGTGTGTTCAAGGATACAGCCAACATGGAGACACACGCCTTTAATCTCAATACCAACCATAGAAGACCTGGAGGTCTGTGCAGACAGGCAGTGATGAGGAGGTCATGTGGTTGGGTTTACAACCAATGAGAAGGCAGAATAGAAAGTCAATAAAAAGGACAAACACACAAGATGTAGGTCTCTTGCTGAGGAGGATAGCAGCGGCAGTGAAGGGTAAGGTTTTTTAGCTCTTAGCTCTGACCTCTTGGGCTTTCATCTCTGCATTGGCTCTGTGTTTCTTATTAACAAGACGGTTACATCTACAATATATTCCATACTTATAATGTATGTTACCTTTGAAAATTTATGTATTTTCAGAACAAAGGGACCAAACACCAATGAAAATGGATGGCCCAAATGATCCAACATCTCAGAATGCCTATGTTGCAGTTTGTAAATTCTACATCCAGAACAGCTTCAAGGCTCCTGGCTGAGATAATTTAGCCTCACAAAATGCTCCATTCAATACATAACAATTACCCTGATTTTTCTCAACGTTCTCCAAAAGATACCAGTGCCCACAGACAACAGGAAGTAGTCTAGAGAAGGACATCCACATTCCCAAGAGGTGGGGTATGGCTGGGTTTTGGTTATTCAATGAATTATAAATGTTCATCATTGTTTAGGGGGTTAATTACAAGTTGTTACTAGACATAGTTTAAAAAATAAAAGAATTAAATTCAAAGATCTCTTTCTAAAGGAAAAAAGGGGGATATATAAATGATAGGATAAAAGGGTAGGTTTTTGAATCTACTTTTAAACAAAAAAAACTATTAATCTCAAAATATTTTACACTGGTATGGATTTTAGTTTATTGATACAAATTTAAAGTTAATTCTGCTATACTGTATGTGTGTTTCTACTCTTGTTTGGGGTATTGTGCTTATACAGCTCATTTAAAAATATAATGTATAATTAAGAAATACAGGTTAGTAGTTAGTCACCTATAATAGTCAAACTTATATTAGGTATATTTTCAAGGTTAAACAGATATATTTAGCTAGAGAGATGGTCTTCAAAAACTTCAAACACCTACAGAATATGGCATTTAAAATGTTTAGTAACAAAAAGTCTTTTCATGACAGTGAGATATATCAGCTCCTGACAGCACCAATTTACTTCAAAAGAGGATGATGAACATCAAAGAACCTCCATATGGAGTTTGCTTTCTTTATGGCAAAAGCTAACCATTTAGACAAAGAAACTGCCCTTGTCTCAATTGCTGACAGTATACTACTGTCCAAACTGGACCAGCAGGATGCAAAAAAAAGCAACTGCCAGACTTTGCCAAGATAAGGTAGGACAGTCCTTCAAAGTCCCCTGCTTCTCAGAAATGTCTGTCAGAAATACCAGGCCTATAGGCCAAATTTGGATGCCCCAACATTACAGAAGAACCTAGGGTGGTTGTTCAGGCAGCCAGACATCCCTAACATTAGGTAACATTTCACCCTTCTGGGATCTTTGATGGAGTTGAAGACTAGATAGTCATAGTTAAAGTTTTCCTTAGTTATGATAAAAGGTAAATTTGGTATAAAACTTTAGACTCACAAAGATAAGATAAATAATAGAATATTTTCTCTAAATTTGCCAAATACAAATAGACTGGACATTGCAAATGTAATTCTTACCTAACAATTTATTTTTGTTACATATAATTTTACTATATTCAAGTTAAAACCTTCCTTTATAATTTTACTATATTCAAGTTAAAACCTTCCTTTAAAATTAGACAAAAAGGGGGAAATGTTGTGGAACAATTTTTTGTACAATATGAATATGTATTAATATGTATTAATAAAAAGCTGATTGGTCAATGACTAAGCAGGATTTTTCGAGGCAGAGAGAATTCTGGAAAGAAGGGTGGAGGCTGAGGAGTTGCCAGGAGACACAGAGGGAACAAAACATGCTGGAGGACAGGTAAAGCCATAAGCCATGTGGCAATATGTAGATTAATGGAAATGGGTTCATTTAAGTTGTTGTTGTTGTTTTTAATGATGGGAACAAAAATATATCTAAAAGCGACGCTTCTGGAAAAACCATTTGTTCTTCCCTGTCTTGTATCTTTCCTCAAACTTTACCTTGGCCTCCCACCTGGCCTTGTGTTACAGGGCTGGGTCTCTAAAGACATCCTTGTTGACAACTGTTTGTCCAAGGGGATGTCCACAGAGTACCTTGTGGGCATGAGGTGATTGTAGTTATAAACTTTCACAAAGGACTTGATCTTTGACCTCTTGGCGATTTTCTTCTTGCCCATGGCAGCTGTCACTTTTCGGGGATAGCGGTCAATTCCAGCCACCAGGGCATGGCTGTAAGGGCGGTCTGAGGTGCCATCATCAATGTTCTTCACGATGATGGCTTTGCGTCTGGAGTAGCGTCCAGCCAGGACCAGCACCACTTTCCTGGGTTTCATGAACTTGCCCATGTCGACAGCAAGGAGCCGGTACCCAGCAGCTAAGTTTTAAGAGCTAGTTAGTAACAAGTTTGAGCTATCAGCTGAGCATTTATAATTAATATTAAGTCTCTGTGGTTATATGGGAGCAGCTTCCAAATCACAGAGAAACTCCACCTACAGTCATTTTAAAGCCCATTTCTGAAATGGAATCCTGTGTTGGGAATGTAACCATGATCTTTTTAATTTAATAATATTCTATTTCATGAATTTAAAAATTTATTTACATTTTTTAATGTCATTTTGGGTTTGGGTTTTGGCGCTACAGCACACACATGTAGGACAATTTGTGGGAATTGATTCTCTCCCTCCACTACATGGATACAGGGAATGAACTCAGGTCTCTTGGCTGAGTGGCAAAAGTGCATTTACCTATCGAGCTGTCTCCAGGATCCAAGGATGTCAATTCCTATTACTGTGTGTTATTTTAAGTTCTTTTTAATATTGGTATTTGTACAAATTTCATCTGATTAGAGTTGTCATTTTGTTTTTGTTTGCTTGTTTCATTTCTTTTTCAAGCATATCTCCAGTTCCTACAGCCCAGTTTAGCTTTTTGAAATCCCTCATGATGAGCTTTGTATGAGTGGGTTGTTTAATATTACCTATGGCACATAAAATATTCCAGAATTTTTCTTTTTATAGTTTTCATTTTGTTGAAATACTGTGTAGCCCAGGCTGGCCCTGAATTCACAGTCTTGTTGCCTTGATATTTCCAGGGCTGAAATTACAGATGCCTGTCATTTAAAATGTATTACTTCATTAAACACTGAGAGCAACTTTATGAGATAGTACCTACTATGGCCCATTTTGCAAAGAGAACATTCATATCCAAGAACTCCCAACTATTAACTTTTAATTTTATTTATTAATGAAAGTAATTTCTACTTGTAACAGCAATATAAAATGCCACTTTAGCTAAATCAAATGTATAGGAACATAAACAAACAGGAACAAAAAGTGCAGCTTGTAGGGAAGGCAGAATACAAGTGATTGGAATGTGGGAAACAGTGGCTTAGTTAATTGTTGTCAATAAAGAAAATATATTTAAAGCCTTTTCATTAATGGTTGGCACTGCACATCTTTATTTTAGGGTGCAACCTTATATCTGTGTAAAATAATGTTTTGCATTGCTTAAAGTTGTATTTTTAAATTCTGGACTTGTCTGATAATAGTGACCTGTTTTGTTCTCATTGACACTTGCTGATTTTTTTGTGTTTCTGATTTATTCACACTCTGTTCTTTATGGGATATGACCTTTGTCTTGCTTTAAGAGACAAGTGCAAGCCTAGCGGTTTTCCCTTCTGCTCTAAATCTCAGCTCCCAGCTGACAGAATTGATCGCACTGTTCAAATCTGGTCAAATCATCCCGGGGCTTGGCTAACAGTTAGCGGTAAAACACGTGCACAAGAGCTGGAGTTCCAATCTAGCAGTGAGGCAAGAGACTGAGCAGAGGAGAGACCGCTTCCTCTTTTAAATAAAGATCTTGAGATGTAAATATACCACCTAGCTTAGGTGGTTAGGAGGGAGATTTTATTTTGTTTTGGTTTTTGAAACCTTGTTAAAAAAATACAACTTACAGGCTGTACGTATAAGAAAATTCTATAGAAAGTTTATAAGATAGAAACATAAAATTCTCCCAAGAATTAGAGCAAATACTGAAAGATAAGAAAAACAGTATGGATGTGTTCGTAAGATTAGCAGTCTTGTATGGTAAACATTAAATACTGGATATATGGGAGTAAAGTTGGAGAAAACCTTTACACCAATAAATTCTCCATTGAGGCTGGAGAGATGGCTCAGTGGTTAAGGACACATGCTGCTCCCGCAGAGGACCGAGTTCGGTTCCCAGCATCTGTGCAGAGTGCTCACAACCACCTGTGGCTCCAGTTCCAAGGGATCCTGTGCCATCTTCAGAACTCTGAAGATACATGTACTGCCATATGCGTGCCTCCCTCATATACACACATAATTTTAAAATACAGATACATCTTTTTGGGTTTTTTTAAGAGAAGAGAATTCCATTGATCTAGAAACTATGAACAAGTCAGAGCAAAGAGCAAAACATGTTAACAAGAAATGTTGGAGCTCCAAGGACAAAGACAAGAGCCCAGAATCTCACAGGGAAGAGCATAGTACCAAACTCTGTACCAAGAATCTGAAATACATCAAGGTTTCTGAACATGGCAACAATGAGAAAGTAATAATACGACAATGAAAAGTAACAAACCAGAGCTATGTGACAAAACGCGGATGGATCTTAAGAAGTGTAACACTGAGTAGAAGAAGAAAGCTACGAAACAAAACAGGGCTGAGGATAAAGTCAGGGGTAACTAAAGAGCTTAGCATGCATGGGGCCCTAGGTTCAGTTCCCAGTGATGAAACTTACACACACATATGCACGCACGCACACGCGCACGCGCACAAACACACACACACACACACACAAATTATGTGTTCATTTATAGTAAACTTTAAAAAGAAAGAGATACAAAGTCAGACTTTTTCTAAGCTGCACATATGATGGTACAGATTGTACAACCCAAAACAGGAAGATGTCGCTGGCACAGTGGCCCCTCGGAAAGGGAGTGAGGGGCCTGGGGCAGCAGACTTCTGACAAGCTGGCAATATTTTCCTTCCGGAATTCCACGATAGGCACATGCTGTGCAGGAAGTTATCACACTTACATTTGTGCTTGAGTGCTTTCCTTGTTTGGATAATAGTCCTTAATTTTTAAAGAGCTTCTCTAAAGATACGTTTCTCTCTATATTGATACTAAAGAACTCTTGAGTTATACGTTGTTAATTGAAAGGAAATAAATGGGGTGGAAAGAGGTGTGAAATTTGCTAACATTTATATTGAAAAGGAAAGGAAGAAGGAGAAAGGGGGAGGTGAGGTCAGGTGAGGAAGTAGCGAAGGAAAAAGAGGGGGAAGGGAAGGAGAAAGGAAAAGATGGAGGGAAAGATGCAGGAACTTGGAGAGGAGCAGGGTAATCCACACAGCAAAACCACTGCTAGATGCTTGTCTCTGGACAAAAGAACGAGGCTCCCAAGGAGACAGAATTCGTAGAATTGCCCTTCCCTGTGTGTCCTTGCTGCGTCTTTAACTTCAGGCCCTGTGGTATATTACCTACTAGAAATACTCAGGAGTTTTCTGGCACCTGTATCGTACTCACCTAGAGGGGGCGCTATCGAGTGGTGTTTCCTTCCAGTCCCTGCGCAAGGCAATGACCCTCTGAATTCTTTGCCAAAATTTTTGTTCTCAACAAAAATTGGGAAAGAAATAAATCTTCATCTATGCTTTCATTTCACTGTATACCACAATGCCTCCTAGAAAGAAGTACAACTCATTAACAGCGCCCCGCTCCCCACTAAGAAGAAGTAAAGAAGTCAAAAAGTCAAAAGAGTGACCAGGTGCCCCGAAACCAGACCCGAGTCTAGACATGCTGCTGTGTGTTCACCATCTTGCCCATGGCAAAGCACAAGCTAGATTCTAAAGTCCTGTGCTAAAATAACAACAACAACAAAGAGAAAATGTGGCCAGTCGGTTACACATCTACAAATCCTGCTCAGGAAACTATTAAAACTGCAGGCAGAAAGTGTTTCTCAGCAGAGACGGTTAAAGGCAACCAGTCCACAAAGACCTTTGGGCCGGATTCTTGGTTTATCTCAGTAGCAGGGATAAGTTGTGAATCCAGATCATCTCACTGTCTCTGAGAAGTGGAAGATGCTTCAGAACCTCAGACAACACACGTTTCATTTTACTGTATTTCGAATGAAAATGAAACTAACACATGTAGAAAAAAGAAGAAGAAAAGCCCCAAGACTGCTATTTTTTTTTTTTAAAGTGTCTTGTACATGGCTAGGTTTTTCAAATTTTGGTCATGGCCATGAATTGTCTCCGAGAAGAGCAGAGCTGATTGGACTTTGGGCTTCTAATGAGTTAAACACCGCCAAAGGAAGTGAGCTTTGACCAAGACTTGCTGCTGGCTCACAGAGGCCCCGGACTCCTGGCAATAAAAAGATCAAAACAGCAGCATGTAGAACACAGAGTTCTAACCTGGACAGAGGTGTTCAAGCAGCTATGGCCTCGTCTGACGCTCAAGGACAAAGAGTGGCCGTTATCGGAGGTGGTTTGGTAAGACAGTCGCGACTTGAATGCTCTCCGGGTGTTTTTTATTAATATTATCTCACGAATGATTTTTCATCATATGTAGATTGTTGATTCTAATCGTGAAGCCTTTTAATGTTTAAATACAACTATTACAAATATGGCATTGCTTTTTATTACAATTATTAACATAATAATTGCTGATATTGCCATATATGCATATCCATGTACTAATCATGTCTATCTACCCTTATACCCTCTTCCTTCCCTCACAACTCCTTCTTAGTCTCTTACATTTTTATGTCTTCTTTCACCCCCACCTTGTGTGTGTGTGTGTGTGTATGTTTCCATAAGTGACAAAATACACAGTACTTGTCTTTATGTATTTATATTATTTTATTTATCCTGATGTCCTCCAAATCCACCCTTTTTTACTAAAATGACCCAATACATATTCTTGTTTTAAAATAACAGGATTTTCATTCTTCTTTATGGCTAAATCTACTCCATTGTTTATGTGTACCATATTCTCTTCCTCCATTCATTCACTGACAGCCATCTCAGCAATAAATAGGGCAATAGCATTTGTTTTAAATTGTTCTTTCTGGGAAAGGTATTTTATATCCACTAAGTATAAGGGTGTCTGCTTTCTTTTGTTGTTTTGGTTTAGTATTTCATTAAAAAAAAAAAAGATAAAACAAATTAAACTTGATTTTGCTCCCAAACATGGCTATGTGCCTTAGGCCATTTTAATAAAAACATTTTGCCCCGTGCTGGTTAATAAAATAATTCAGTACTCTCTAATGAGAAGAAAATGGTCAAGACACATGAAATTAATAGTTTTAAAAACCTATCAGATACTCACTAGCTATTCAAATAGATGAGAAATAACACATTTGCTAACCCAAATGACTTAGCAGTTTCCATGTGGTGGTGTGGTGAGTGAACCCCTTACTTTTACCCCAGCAAGTGAGGTTACAGGGCCATCACTCAAACCTAGCAAGATGTGAGATAGTGCTATTTTTTTCTTGCCCCCAAGGGGAGGAAGAAGTGTGACTATGTGTTATATTTTTACAGCCAAAACCAGTTCTCTCCCCCGCCCCCCAAAAACTGCATTTTTCCAACAGAATAAAAATATTCCAATTAATAAAAACCATCACACAGAGCTCCTTAAAATTAAAAATAGGACCTCTCTAAAATTCAGCTACACTACTTCATTTATACATAAATTAATCAAGTCAGCTCTCTGTAGAGATACCAGTATGCACATGTTTACTGCTACAGTACTCCCAGCAGCTAGGTTACAGACTCGGCCTAGGTACCCCCACCACAAAATGAGTGGATAAGGAAAATGTTACACACACACACACACACACACACACACACACACACACACACACACGTATTATTCTCCCATAAAAATAATAAAATCGTGTTGCTTTCAGGAAAAATGGATATAAAAGGTCCTTTTATATAGCTGATTCTAAATTTTTAAATGCCTAGAAATGAGCAGGTCCAATTGCCCACATCTAAAATCCTAGGACTTGGCAGGCTGAGACAGGGAAGCAGAGTGAGACTGAGGCCTAGGTGGGATACACAGTAAGATCCCATGTCTCAACAAGGCCAAGCAAAACCAAGCCTTCTGGGAGATCATTGTGTACTGTGGTCCTCAGGCTTCAGGTGGGCCTCTCTCTAGCTCTTTCCTATCAACTCGTTGAACAAAATGAGAATGTATGTATTCCTGGTATTTGAGGCACTATGGTTAAAGGAGTGGGCATTCTGGGGAGGAGAAAGGTAATAAAGAAGGAAACAAGACAGCAGTGAGCTGCAAGAATAATGCAAACAGGGCAATGCTTGCAGAGGGTCTTGGCAGTTTCCGTGTGCAGTGGCGTCAAGGACAAGATGGGTCCAGACACCTCCATGAGATGCAAAGCTGCCATGGCCAGTGCTTACAGCATCTTAGGAGATCAGGGAAGAAGACTGCATTTTACTCAAAGTTGCATTGTGTTTGAAGGCCTTGGGGGGATTTCAGTAAGGTCAAACTATGATTCTAAAAGAGCCTTCATGCTGGGCATGGTAGTGCATGCTGGTAATCAACACTGGGAAGCTGAGGAAGGATGAACAGTTCCAGGCAAGTCTGGGCTTTATAACAAGTCCCTACCTCAAAACAAACAAACATCCTCGGGCTTCTAATGGAGAATATTTAGGGAGATTAGGAGGAGACAAGACCAGTTAGAACGCTGCTGTCTATCCATGAATTACTCAAGGGTAGTAGCAATGATGGCTCTTTAAGCATCTCAGAAATGCACGGTGGGAGCGAACAACTCCACATATGATTGCAGAAGATGCAAAAGTGTGCTAGTTTTCTGTGGATTTCTCCCCGGATATCACTCAAACTCTCCATCCGCTGTGAAATCGCTTCCCACACATGCCCTGAAGCTCCTCAGCTGTCGTCCCTGAGATTGTTTCTGCCAGTGATTTCCAAACTCAAAACGCTGTTGATGCTACATTGGTTTCCAGTGTTACTGCTGCTCAGTGACCTGGAGATTTTACAGCACAGCCAGTGTAAACTCAGCCTAGAGAGTGTGTACAGCCCAGGGGCACAGCAGTGTCTGCCGCTAGCTCAGGCAATCCTGTTTTCTTCGGTTTCTTCAGTTTCTACTTCCCTCAGTTTCTTCCTCTTGGGTTAAAACTAAACCCTGAATGTTGAACTCAACTCTTCTGCCTTTTTTTTTTTTTTTTTTTTTTTTTTTTGCACTCCTCACACAGAGATCTCTACATTATTCTCCACATGGTCCTTCCTACTGCCCAAATCAGGTCACTTGGAACGTCCCTAACTCACAGAACCCAGCAAAGCTCATGTAGCTTGGGTCAAGGTCTTTATAGTGTGCCGTTTGGGTCAAGTCCATCGTTTCTGCAAACGCTGCTGATATGTCCATGTAGAGGACTTGCTGTTAGCCTTCCGTAGGGCTCTTATTTTAATACTACCAAAATCTCGATTCAGTTTTGTACTGATATCTTAAATTATATTTTTGCAAAGAAATGAATTTCCTTTGTGACATTTTTGTACTATGTATTTCATTACACTTTTGCTCATCCTTCACACGCTTCCCTCCCTGCCCTCCCTCCTTGCCTCTTGTGGGCCTCCCTTCTCCCCACAGAGAGCCCCCCTTCTGTTCTCATGGCATGCATCCCATTACCCCACTGCTCCCCCCTCTTTAGACCTCTTCCTTCCCCCCTCACCGTTACCCTCCTACCCTCATGCCCCCTCCACACTTAGTTAAATCTGTATTTCGTATAGGAGAGGAGACATCTTTGTCTTTATGATCCTGCTTACTCCACTTAATAGAATCATCTCCAACTCCATCTGTTCTCCTGTAAATGTTCTAATTTCATCTGTCTTTACAGCTAACTAAAATTCCACTGTGTACATGGACTGCATTTCATTTTCATTTGTTTTTATTTAGTTTTTTGACAGTGTCTTTGACAGTATAAAATGCCTACTTCTTACTCTCTCCTCCCGACTCTTTCTAATCTCCCTCCCACCTCCCTCCTCCATACCTGTCTCCCAGATTCCTAACTTTTGGTTTGGTTTTGTGATCCATTTAGTTTAACCAGGGCCCTCTGTGTGGCCATTCATTTTCCTTCCCACTCTTTAGGCTCCGAGATTTCTCTCTGTCATTCCGTTCCTGGGATATCTTTCAGCAGGTGGAATGGACTTTGAAGGGCTGTGGAAGTCTATCTTCCTTTGTTGAGGGGGTCAAGGGACACTTTTGATGTTTCTGTGAACCTTCCTGCATCTTTTGAGGCTCTGGTTTCCTCAAAGAAGTTTCAGCTCTCATGTTCTCTGCCTGTATCTCTCCAGCAGTCTTGGTGGGTTTTTGAAGTACTTCACAGAAGCCAGTCTTGCCTACATGCAAGGAATTTATTCCTCACACTTCATTTGCTACCTGCTTCTCATTGTAGGCTCTCGGTGCAGTGCTTTCAAACAGCTGCAGAGTTAGTTCATAAATGTCCACGTCCCTGGGAGAGACTACCCTCATGAAATCTGGCCTACTGTGCCCAATTTCTTCCTTCCTCTGCCCTCCTTCCTATGGTCAGGAATCCAGCTGTGCCTTTGTGGAGTTGTGGGAGGCTTGGAGCAGTTTACGCATCACGTTTCTGTCTATCTCTTCTTGTCTTCTTAGTTACTTCACCACCTAACAGCTAAGATGCTTCTGACAGTTATTCCAAATTATGTACTTTCGACAGAAAGTGAGAAGAGGTAACATGTTCAGAGTGTAGAGTCCTCATCCCCAGCACAGAATCAGCCCTTGCAGCTGGGCACATATGCCAAGGTTTTCCTCTTAGCTTCATTTGAACCTCACTTACACAGAATAGGAATTCTCATAGTCTTTGATCTACTGCTGTTACTGGACTTAAAGAAGGCTCCTAGCTTTTGTGTTGTTGCTAGTTTACTGTTAATAATAAGCACTTGCGAGCTCACCACTCAACACGAGAACCAATATATTCCAGTGACTATCACTGACTTCCTCACCCACTAAAACACTGCCGTGAATATTTTCCTTTTAATTAATATTTTTATCACATCCATACCATATAATCATATATGCATTAATAAATATAAACACATTTTAATTATATATATATGTACATATACCCATTGCTCTGTCTCTATTATCCTTTTTATAAGAACATTACACAGTATGAATCATCTGTAACTCACTCTTCACTTATACTTTTGTGTAAATACACCAGAATTCATTTGTTCGTTCCTTTGTAATGGGCATTTTGGGATGCTAGCAGAGTATTTATTCATTTGATTATGAAAAGGTCTTCTCTAAATATTCTAACACGTGTCCCCTCCTTTGCAGAAAAAAAAAAAAGCCAAAACTATGTCTACAACTATACCACTTAATCTTGAATTAAGCCGATTGTTGTGTTCTTCTTTTCTTTTCTTTTACATAATTGGGGAATGAATTCAGAGTTCTGCACGTGCTAGACAATGGTAGTATCCCCAGTCACCTTTTGATACTGAGACAGGCTGTTCCTAAGTTGCACAGGCAGGTCTTGAACTCAAGACCCTCTTGCCTCAGATGGATTATATAGGCTTGCATGATCAGGCCTGGATGGTCTGACTGATCTTGCCTTTGGTCTTCTTGGACAGTGACTACAACCAAGTCAGTGTAATGAATGGAGTAGTATATCCATCCATACACAATAGTGCGTTTTTCACCAAAATGTCCATGTATGTACAGAACCAGACGAAGACATGAAAAAAGTTGGTTTTGATTTCTAGGTTGGAGCATTGAATGCATGCTTTCTTGCAAAGAGGAATTTTCAAGTTGATGTGTATGAAGCTAGAGAAGGTGAGTCGGTAATGGAAAATGAGGAAGGGTTTCCAATTGCACCATCTATTTCTTTGGATGTTCTGAATAAAAGAAGTCTTAATAAAAGAAATTTAAGATATAAGAACTATTAGAATACTTTTAAAACCTCAGTGATCTAAATTTAATTGAATACTAATTGACACCTGTTATTTTCTTTAGATGCATTAATGAGTCTTTTAATTTGACTCTGAATTGAACAATTGTTCAAATGCAAGGATTTGTTCACTCCTTAGCCACATTTGAGGAAGTGTGTGCATCACAGAGTCTGCTTCCTGTTTTTAGATATTCGAGTGGCTGAGTTTACACGTGGAAGAAGCATTAACTTGGCCCTTTCTTATAGAGGACGGCAGGCCTTGAAGGCCATTGGTCTGGAAGATCAGGTACATAGTTGATGCAGTTTTCTTTCTTTAAAAAAAAAAATTTGTGTGTGTGTGTGTGTGTGTGTGTGTTGTATGTGTGTGTGTGTGTGTGTGTGTGTGAGAGAGAGAGAGAGAGAGAGAGAGAGAGAGATGTAGACCTATGTGTTCACGTATGTGTTGGGTGAGCATGCCCACACTAGTACCCGCAAAGGCCAAAAGAACGTGTTGGGTGTCCTGTTCTGCCGTTCTCTCCCTTTTCCCCTTGGGCCAGGGTCTTTCACTGACCCCTGAGCTGGCCCCTCGGTATCCAAAGTCATGCCTGCACAACAAGCGTTCTTACCAAGCCAGTGCGATCGCCCTCGCAAGTTTTTTTGTGGAGATGAATATACTCGATGGTTTTCAACAATTCATGGCATTGATTGTACCCTGGTATGAAATGTTATTTGATACCAATGACCTGCATATGAAAATCCATTCAGCAAAGGCTTGGAAAATGACAGATTTGACAAGCTCGTGAACCTTTACCCCATGATGGGTGTGGAGACATGAGGACTGGGGGAGTCACAGACATGACACTCCAGTCCCATCTGGTATCAGGTTTCACACTGGGCTCTTACAGGAAAGCGGGTCTCCGATTGGGCAGGTCGGGTTTGCTCTAGTTTCCTTCCAGGCACTATGATGAAACACTCTGATCCAAAGCAAACTAGGAGAGGCAAAGGTTTTTTCCGTCTCACAGGTTACAGTTCTTCATTGAGGGAAGTCAGAGAAGGAACTTGAAGGCATGGCTGCTTGCTGTCATCACATGCAACATTACCTCTAACCAGGGAACTCATAGCCAAGGAATACAACAGAAAGCATGGAGGATTACATTTTTCTCCTCACAGTGACCCTTCTCATAGTCAGAAGAAAATCACTTAGCCCCCAACTCAGTACCTCTAACATCTAACCACTCCCCAAAGTCTGTGATAGCGAGTTTAAACCAGATAAACATTCATTTTTTTTTTCCATATTAAAGAAACACTGACATACTTGAGAGCAAAGTAGCCACTGAGCGACATTAGGCTTCCTGGGTCCCTTTGAAGGTTTAATTGAAAAATCCCATTTATATTCACATCTATTTGATTCTCGTGGTGGTAGGTCACAGCAATGGAAATGATTGTTTCTGGTTCTTCTCAGGTTGTCTCCAAAGGTGTGCCCATGAGAGCGAGAATGATCCACTCTCTCTCAGGAAAGAAGTCTGCAATTCCCTATGGGAATAAGTCTCAGGTAGGTTCACACTGAAGGCAGCGGATTGCACATCAATTCGAACTGAGCCCAATGCCTGCCATGGGCCACTTGCTCTTCTTTAACGCCAGATACTCCAGCCTCAGTCTAGATGCCAGGAATACATACACTGGTTAGTTAGTTCATAGATGTTCAAACCAGGGTCCAAGCAATAATGCCCATGAGAAACACTGAGCTACTCCTATCAATCTTGTCATGAGGCCATTTCTTGTTCTGCATGTGGCTCCTGCTGCCCAACTGTTTGGGATGCCAGCTGCCTCCCTTTCAATTAGAAAGAATTACCACGTTATTTGTTGTTGAGTATCATGTACGAGGACAACTCTGGGGCATAGTCCATTGCTGTTGCCTTCCCCTCAATGGCCCTCTTGCCCTGGATTTGCTTATAATAGAATGTATAGAACGAACCAGAAATGCTTTCAGTACTTTCTAATTCCCAAAACAACAGAGGCCAGATGGTAATGTAGTTTTTGAAAGCAAATCCATTACCCTGCTCTGTGTTTTCCTCATCTTTTACATGCTGACATTCATAACTGGGAGAAAATGTATTTGCATCTAATTATACCCTTTGAGTTTAGAAATAAATTTGAGAGAGAATGAAGGCCCCAAACATCTATCAACAAGAGGGGAATTCCCAGTTTGCTTTATTTTTGTGGAGCCATGCCTTATGAGGCACAGAGCCTGAGTAAGGTTTACATTCTTCTGAAGGATGAGGGACGGTCATTTGTTTCATGGGGAAGAGATATCAGTAGAATAAGACGAGAGAAGGTTCACTGTGTGGTACGGTCAGGAAATGGAAGAGTGGTTTGAAGAAAGGGGAAGTTGTAGCTTACAGGAAGGCTACAGAGAAAGCAAAAATTGAAGCACTCTGTAGAAATGCTAAATCAGTAGCAAAATAGAATTACCCTAATCAAATGGAGGAAAGCCGAGCAAGACTTCATCTCTAAGACTTAAATCTGAAATGCAAAGTGCATTCATTTCAGAGGCTTGACAGAGAGGGCGTGTAAGTTCACTCTAGCACAGCATAAGTTACTGAACTTGAACGTAGCTGCCACGCTTTATAGAAGAGGAAACGGCCTGCAGACTTGCATGAGATACATCAAGGCACAAATAAGGCAGCTTTCTTCTTAGAGGTGTGACATTCCCCTGGGCAGTCATGCTTACGGCCCCATTGCTCTCTGTCTCCGTGGTGAGTGACTCACAATATCATCTCATTCTTTTGTATTACCGTGGAGCAGCCTAAGGAAGCTGAGCTGTCCAACCAAGTTCACTCCAGGGCCCTGGCCAATCAGGTATCAGTGGGCAGAAGAAGATAGAGTTCAAATACCAGAGAAACTAGACAAGGAGAGTGACTGGGACCAGAGGCCACGATTGCTTTCAACTGTTGTGGTGGGGATTGAGTCCCCCAGAGGGAGCAGGTGTGTGGGAGAGTTCCAATTTTGGAGTCTTCACTGCAATACGGAGGAAGTGGCCCCTTTCCCACCACCACTCTTTCTCGGTTCTTACGAAGTGGGTAAAGGCTAAGTTTACAGCCACCCTCATCCTTCAGTTTCCACATGACTGCATTGACATCTGTTGGGGTTCAGTCAAACGCAAAGGCCGCTTTGCCCTTTAAGAACCATCCGGTTGCTTTGAACCACTCAGTTGCCCTGCCTGAGGAAGTGCAGTCATCCTTGTGACCCCAAGATTTCTTCACATCTTCTTCATGACCACCTTCTTTTGGCCTCTGCAGCCTCTTGGCCCCTGGGTTCCCCTCACCCAGTATTAGCTGGCTACCACCAAGATCCAGACATGAAATCCACCCTTTCGTTAGTCTCTACTCATAAGCATCCTAAAAACAGCATATTTGGAGCTGTACCTACTGTGCAGCCTTGAGTTCAGAGCCCAGCATTCAGTCCAGAGAGAGGGCTCAGCAGTTAAGAGCACTTGCTACTGTTCCAGAGGACCTGAGTTCAGTTCCCAGCACCCACCCTGGGGAGCTCACAACCACCTGTAACTCCAGCTTCATAGAATCCGTCACTCTCTCCTGACCTCCATGGGCGCCTTTTTTCACTCATACAGCCACATGCATACACATAAATACAAATATATCCTCAGTGACCCACCACCCACATATAGAGCCAGGCATAGGCACACCTGTAATCTCTGTAATCCAGTGCTGTGAGGTACAGAGACAGAGGGATGACTGGGTCTTGCTGGCTGCCAGCATAGCTCCAGGTTCAGTGAGAGATCCTGTCTCGGAGGAAGAAGACAGACAGACAGACAGACGGACAGACAGACAGACAAACAGATAGATACTTGGCACTCTCCTGGCCTCCATACCATACCATCACACACATATATTACACACACACACACACACACACAAAGAGAGAGACAGAGGGAGGGAGACAAGAAGAGAAGAAGGGAGAGTAGGGGAGGGGGAGGGAGAGAGAATGAATCTGCTGAAGAGCTCTGGGCCACAGGTGAAGCACTTTGCATTAAGACACACAGTTTAGATATCCACAATGTGCAAAACTGACTTCCCAAACCCTCCCTGGCTGTTTGTCTCCTGGCCCTTTCCCCCACACCATGCACAGATGCTTCCTGGCTTTGTGGACATTCCCCTCTCCCTCCTAGACTGTCTTGGGAACTGTCAAGATACCGTGTAATATACAGAGGTGGTCAAAGCTCCCGGCAAACTCCTGAGCTTCTGTGTTCAAAGTTAAGCTACCTCGCTCCCTTAGTAGGAGGCTTTCCCTTGTTGTATCTGAAATGGTCTGCATTTAAACAATCACATTACATGCCTCCAAATAAACTCTCTAATGTGGCTTTTATCCTTGTGATTTTGGCATGACAGCCACTTAATATCTCTAGACTCCTTGACTTATATTAGCTCCTCGAGGGACTAGCCTTTTAGAACAGGTGTTGGCATGTTCTGTGACAGGAACAGCACTGACTCTTGCTGATGAGGCAATGCCATCCAGACCGCAGAAGTAAACGGTAGACATGTCCTGGTGCCCCATTGGGCAGGCAATGTCTATCGGTTCCCACAGCACACAAGCCCTGTAACTAACATCAAAAGTCTCCTTTCACCACATTAATTTAAATGAATATTTATAATTTCCTAACATCCTCTAGAATGTTTCCTTGCTGGGCTGGGAATGGAGCCCAGGGCCTTGTGCAAGTTGAGCAAGTACTCTACTCTTGAGCCTTTCACACTCAGAATACACACTTGGTTTCCATGGAAACACAGTGATTAGTGACACAGAGTGCAAGAAACAGAACTATGAGGCAAAGAAGAGGTCTGTCTTCCTACATCAGTGTTAGTCCTGTAGTGGTACTTGCTCTGCCCATGACCTAGGGCTGTGAGGCTTGGAGGAGGCAGTGCTTCTTGCCATCCTAGACTACCTCTTTAAAAAAGAGGAGAGAGAGGTCACATGTTTCTGTCTTTTTTTTTTTTTAATCCTGGCATGATTGGACACCAATGGTCTGGGAATTGAACCCAGGTGCTCTAAAACATGTCAGTGCTCTTAACTACTGAGCCATCCCTCTCCTCTTCACCTGAGATGATTACTCAGACATAGTGGATAGCCAATTGAAAATCTTTATTTCAGCTGGCTGGGACTACATCCAAGTGTCTGGGGACCTAGGTGCAGCCCCAAGTGTCCAGAACATGGAGTTATTTTTTTAAGGGCAGAGGCCTTATCCAGGCATCTTGCTCAGCATCTGCAGGGGTGGGGACCGGGGCTTCACAGAGTAAGCAGTCTGAAGCAAGCACTTTTAACCGAAGCTAAGTGGTTGGCTGGAGGGAGGTTCTGCATAAACAGGCAGTGTTAACAAAGGCTAAGATAAGTTAGCCAGGACATCCTGACCTTTGCTTCCTAGATGGAGTTGGGTAGTTCTCCATGGGATTCCCCATCAAGGAGATCACATTCTAGTTTAATCTGGAAATGGCGTCAGCAGCAATCCAAGATGGAGGAGGCTCTGCATTGTCTCGCCCCATCCCAATAGGAAGCAAGCATCTCCCTAGCCACTGCCACTGTGATACCTCTGAGTTATTTTTATACCAAGTTTAGATTTGACTGCTAAGGTAAAATTTCTACCTCAGGATGAGAGCAAGAGCTATAAGTGAGTATTTTCGTGTTAAAAACTGTGTGGTCTCCCATCATTTGGAAAAATGACGTGCTTTAAATATTTAACGAATTCTCTTTAAATCATAAGACTGTAGTATGATTTTCATGGTCCATGGTAAGTATTTTCGCTATAAAATAATTAATATTTAAACTTAACTTGGTGTGATGATGACTACGAGCAACCTAAGATGTATTTTTATAGATCAGTTTTTATTTTACTTGATTTTTTTTCTGCTTTTAAACTAAACTAAAAATAAAACATTTTTAACTGATGCTTACAGTATTATGGACCCGAGACACCATATGTGCATTGCGTTCTAGGACGGTCAACCTGCTACATTTTACCACAAAGTCCGAAATAAGCAACAGACCGTAGTGAGGGTTTGTCTTTGTCCTACAGCTCCTGCCCCCACCACCTGTTACCTTCACAGTTTTCTCTGAAGTTAAGGCTTGGGAGGTAGATTTGGGGGGGGAGGGAGCAGTGCATTTGCTCTGATGTTATCAGTAGTGAAGCAATGTAACAACCATATTGAGAGAGCTCTGATGGAATTACGAAATTTACAATGTTAAAATTATGTTAATGAAACTAATATATTCACTGTATGAGAAGGTTTTGATTTTTATAGTTCAAACTTTGAGAAAGCCTAAGATAAAAATTTGAATATTATATTAAGCATATTTGGTTAAAGTTGTTTATTATCATTGTATTATTTTTGTTTTGTTTTGTTTTTTGAGTTTCTCTGTGTAGCTTTGCGCCTTTCTTGGAACTCACTTGGTAACCCAGGCTGGCCTTGAACTCACAGAGATCCGCCTGGCTCTGCCTCTGAGTGCTGGGATTAAAGGTGTGCCACCACCGCCCGGCTTATCATTGTATTATTATGATGGTTGTTATTATTATTATTATCATACCACTTAGATAAATATTCTAAAACTAGTTTACAACCTTCTGCTAAATAGTGAAAATTTCTTCTTTCTGAGTAACTTAAAGTTAAGTTTGGCCATTCACCAGAAACAATGTCTACTTTGTTTTTCTTACAGTATATCCTTTCCATTAGCAGAGAAAAGTTAAACAAGGATCTACTGACTGGTAAGCCTAATGCTTTTGTTCACTCAGCTTGTCACATGACTTACTAGGGTTTGCTTGCTGTTCCTTTCTGTGGGCTATAATGAATAAGATTGTGTACGGTACAGAGAGCCCTTGAAAAGTGGTAGCAAAATTGCCACAGTGTCTCTTTTCATCTCATCAATTATCTAAATGAAAATAATTCTTTCCTCAGACATTGTAATTCTACCACGCACTGTCTGGTCAAGAACTCACAGTCCAGTGGGTCAACAGACATAAGCAGACAACTTGCCAAGTGCCCTATTAGAGGAGCATGTGAGGAAGATAAGATGTGAAGGCTTGAAGGAAGCTGCAACTTTGAGCGCATTGCCATAGCCCCCAAGTGCCTAACCAAGGCTCTGGGCAAAGTCAGATAGCAGTGTGGTAAGGGGGAGGGTAGATTCACATCTGTAGGAGAACAAATGTGTAGAGGAGACTGAGAAAGGAAGATGCAAGATCTAGCTCTCAAGTTTGTACTCTGAGTAACTAAAAAGAATCACCCATAAACTGAAGCTACCAGGCTGCACGTTTAGTGAACCATAGCATCGCATCCCTGGCAACCTTTCACACCTCTGGTATCCTTTCAGTCCTCATTACATGTAACAGTAGATTATACCAGTTCAGTGATTATACTGAGCAGATTCACTACCAGCAGAGCATACCCCTTGAACATTTCTACTCTCTTCTTTTTTTAATTTTAAAAACATTTACTTTTGAGATAATATAATTGCATCATTTCCTCCTTCCATTTCCTCACTTCAAAACCTTCCATACACTCCTCCTTACTCCCTTTCAAATACATGGTCTCCTTGTTCATTATTTGTTGTGTTTTATATATATATGTATATTCCTCAATATAACCTTTTCAGTCTGTGTAATGTTATTCATATGTTTATTTTCAGGGCTGACCATTTGGTGTTGGATAACCAATTGGTGTGCCCTCCCTGGTGTCTTAGGGTTTCTATTGCTGTGAAGAGACCCCATGACCACGACAACTTTTATAAAGGAAAACATTTAATTGGGGCTTACAGTTCAAATGTTTAGTCTACAATCATCATGGTGGGTAGCATGCAGGCAGACATGGTACTGGAAAAAGAGCTGAGAGTTCTACATCTTGATCCACAGACAACAGAAACAACTGTGTGTCCCATGCTGGGTGGAGCTTGAGCATAGACCTCAAAGCCCATCTCCACAGTGACACACTTCCTCCAACAATGCCACACCTCCTAATAGTGCCACTGTCTATGGGCCAAGCATTCCAACACACAAGTCTATAGGGACCATTCCTATTCAAACCACCAAACCTGGGAAAGACAACTGATTGATTGTTCCTGCTCTCAGCACTCCTTGCCTATAGTTCCATGTGTAGGGTTGGGGCCCCATGGGCTGTCCCCCATCCACCTCATTGTTGTCCTTGTTCAGCTCATCTTTAGGCAGCCTTTATGGGTGTCACTTCTGACATTCCTAGGAGATCCAATCTCACAGCAAACTCCCTGACCCTGTGGCTCTTACAGTCTCCCTGCCCCCTTCCACATTGTTCCCTGAGCATGAGGTGCAGGTGTGATTTGTAGATACAGCCTTTGGAAGGGCTCCACAACTCTGCATTTTGATTGGTCGTGGTTTTCTGTAATGATCTTCATCCACTGCAAAGAGAAGTTTCTCTGATAAGGGTGAGAGCTGCACTTAATCTATGGGTATAAGGACAAATGTTTAGGAAGCAGTTAGGAATTAAGCCGTTTTACTAAAGTGGTAGTCATGGGCTCTCCTCCAAGATCCATGACTTCATTAGCCTTGGGGTAGTTACTAGGTTCTCAGTACCCACTATGGTTTCCCTCTTGTTGAGCTTCTGTTGTCTTTTTAACCAACCCTTCTTGATATATTCCAGAAGTCTCTGTCTTTTTAGCAAGTTAAATGTTCCATAGAATTACTTTTTCACCTCTGGTTATATTTGGAGCTGCCTTTCAGCTAGATGGAGTGGGGACCATGTACTACACATATCCCTGCTCATCTTTAGAAAGAAGATAAACAGCAAGCAGCTTTTTAAGACGGCAACCTCACAGACCTGTTTACAGCCTCTGAATTTACTAAGATAAAGAGAATAGCGAGTTGTTACTGAAGCACCAAGCACTATAGCAAGTGCCTCATATGCACTGATTTCCACAAGCCTCCCAACAACCATGTGAGGCAGAATCAAGTGTACCTCAGCTTTACAAATGGCAAAATGAAAGCTTAGAACTCTTAGGTCTCACTATTACAATTGGTAGAATCTAGATATGAGCTTTAGTCTGTTTATTCCAAAGTCTCTGCTTTTTAATGACTTAATTTCTGCCTTTATTATATATGGAACATCAGCTAATAATAAAGAGCTGATGTATATATAATTACAGTCTTGGTATATATGACAGACATTTCCGTACTGTTCTTCTTTGAGGATGTGCTTCACAGACTCCAAATTAATAAAGGACTGCGTCTCTCTGTCTCTGTCTCTGTCTCTGTCTCTGTCTCTCTCTCTCTGTCTCTGTCTCTCTCTCTCTCTCTCTCTCTCTCTCTCTCTCTCTCTCTCTCTCTGTGTGTGTGTGTGTGTGTGTAAAGAGAAAGAGAGAGAAACAAAATCTCTTAACCCAAGCATTGTTTGGCATATAAACTTCTCATTTCTTTGCAAAGCATGAAACATGTGATCCATACATTCGATATATTTGATTAACTATAAATACTTATTTTTCTCTAACTTAATCACCTCCCCTCCAAAAACATTGTAAGTGAACCCCATTCTCAGATAAACCCACATTTCATGCACAAACGTTTCATGGTTTGCTCTCCCATTCGATGTTTATAACAAGGAAAACAAGATAGATGTGGTTGGGACATTCAGTAACTCCTGTATCAAGACACTTTTTTTTTTGTTTTGTTTTGTTTTTTTTGGTTTTTCGAGACAGGGTTTCTCTGTGTAGCTTTGCACCTTTCCTGGAACTCACTTGGTAGTCCAGGCTGGCCTCGAATTTACAGAGATCCTCCTGGCTCTGCCTTGCGAGTGCTGGGATTAAAAGCGTGCGCCACCACTGCCCGGCTCAAGACACTTTTAAAACGCTTTTCCTAAAAATAATTCTCAAGATCTTTATGTGATGGTCTGCTCTGTGAACCTCCCAAGGTGGCACTGTCCAGTCTGGAACCACAAATGCCAAGCCACATATATTATATTTTAATTGTGTGAACATAATTTTATTGTAACCTAGTATAACAAAATGTATTTTTTTTTTAAAAAAAAAAAAAGATACCCTAACTATATCAGATAAACTCTGATTTCTGCAGTTATGTGACAAGGAAAATATCTTTTTTCTTTTCTCTTGTTTTCATTTCTCTTTTCAGAAATATATTATTAATCTTAGTAGAAATATATTACCATTTTCACTAGATTTTTTGTTGGTGGTGGGGAGGGATGGTTCATTTTCTTATTTCCTTTTAATTCCTTTTTCTTTTTTGAGACACAGTCTTACTACATAGCTCAAGCTGGCCTTGAACTCATGATCCTTGAACTCCTGCCTTAGCATCCCGAGTGATGAGATTAGATTATAGGCATGCACCACCACACCAAGCTTGACTGGTTCTACACTTGCTCAGTATCCAAGTGCCATGACACCGGGAGCACCGTCAACCAGAAGCCAGGGGAGAAAGAAACAGCCATGCACAATGGAGGGAACATTCTTAATGGCTGAATGTTTCTGCTCACAAATCAAGCTGGAAAGGCAGCTTTAAGATTTGTGACAATCGTTTCTTCCCAAGGGCACAATCAGGAATGCTGGAGTTTGTACAATGCTACTAGTTGAATATTTTTAAAGTGACAACAACCGTTTTTTCTTTTGTCTGTATTGTTAAAAGTTATACTAGACTATCCACAAAACAGTTGCCAAATTAACATTTTAACAAATCCATGTCATATTAAGAATAAGTATCTTGTTGGGTGGTGGTGGCACACACTAATCTTAGCACTAGGGAGGCAGAGGCAGATGGATCTCTGAGTTTGAGGACAGCCTGGTCTACAGAGTTCCAGGACAACCAGGGCTACAAAGAGAAACCCAAACCAAACCAAACCAAACCAAAATAATAATAATGATAATGATAATAATAATAATAATAATAAATTAGTAAATTAATAAAAATAAAAGATAAAGCCATGCACCACCATCTCCTGCTTGACTTTAAAAAAAAAAAAACTGGGCATCATGGTGAACACCTTTAATCCCAGCACTTGCGAGGCAGAGCCAGGTGATCTCTGAGTTCAAGGCCAGCCTGGTCTACAAAGTGAATTCCAGGACAGCAAGGACTACACAGAGAAATCCTGTCACAAAAAAAGCAAAAAAAGAAAAATAGAGACTAAGTATCTTTTCTGGCCTGATAGGTACACACATGAAAGCCCAGCATTCATGTGGTAGAAGCCAGAATTTGTGAGCTGGAGGCTAACCTGGGGTACACAGTGAATTCAAGATTGTACTACATAGTGAGACCCTGTCACAAATAAACAGATCGGTTAGTTAAGTAGTCTCCCTCTACTGTTCACAGCAAATGATCAGCAGTTCAGTGTGATTGGGTGAAGCCACAGCTGGAACTCAGTTCTGTCTAACCTTCTGTTTCCTCCCTCAGCGGTGGAGTCCTACCCCAACGCCAAGGTGCACTTTGGCCACAAGCTGTGGAAATGCCGTCCCGAGGAAGGGGTGGTCACCGTGCTTGGGTAATCACCGTGCAGGCTTTGGGCTTCAGAGGGCAAGGGTGGGAGTGGAGAACTCGACCCGCAAACTTTGTTCTTTGGCTCTCCTGGAAGAGTTAAATGATTACTGAAGCGAAAATTCAAACAGGCTTCACAGCCAGGGCTTTTTGTTTGAGAACAGTCCACCGTGCTCCCTGAGTATCCAGAACTGGCGATTCTCCTTCGTTTCCATGCCTGGGTGAACATCCTTTGCTCAGACTCTCTCCTCCTTGGAAATAGGGGGCCCTCCCCTGCCTTGTGTTGCCTGTCCTCTTTCATGGGGTGACATCTCGGCCTGTCCTTGACCAGCTCTATGTCCTTTAAAGTCCCACCCTCGGAATACCACACGCCAGTCACAGGTTACACGAGCATTTGTAAATTCACGTCTCCAGCGTTAGCATGTGTGCCCAGGCCGCCGGCCTCACTCTTGGCCTCAGTGAGGTCCTGATCAATGACGTCCCAGTCCCGGTACAGTTGCGTTATCTCAGATTCCTTCTTGTCTCTGTTGCCTCCCCGCCTCCCGGCATCCCTGTCTTCCCTGGGACTGTTTTGGCATAATCAGTCCCTTACGGTGTACTCTTCTCCCCTGTTTTCTCCCATTCAATCTGTCCGTTCTCGTCAGTATGTCTTCCTTTCTAGTCTCTTTCTTCCTGTGAGATGATGGTGTCCAACTCCTGTCCCCACACGTGTGTGCTGCTGCCTTTGCCCCCTGTGTGTCCCCCTTCCACTTCACGTGGAAAAGTCAGCTTTCTGAAACTGCCGCTCCTGAATCATCATCCTTCTAATGGAAGAAATAATGCAATGAATTTAAACTTCTGTCTTTATATCCAAAATTCTCCTTCCTTCCCCCTTTGCCCTTTGTGCGTTATACAAGTTGACCTCCTGTATCTAAGAATGCTTTAATCATGGGTACAACCAACCTCAGATCAAAAGTATCCAATTTTGATTGCATCTCTAAGAAAACACAAAAGGGAAAGAGGTCATCTGTGCTGACCATGCAGAGACTTTTACTCTTGCCCTTGCTCCCTAATGATACAGCCCCTCACACAGCATTTCTAGAGAGAAGTTAAAGCATCTGGGGGAGAGGGGTAGGACATTTCCAAATGCTGTGCCGTTTTACACAAGGAACTTGAGCATCTGCAGATTTGGATAGTCTAGAACCAATCCTGGAGGTCAACAAGGGACAAGTGTGCTCCATTTTTAAGCTTACTATCTGGTATCCTTTCCTCACACCAAGCTTTTTTTCCTCCAGCAAGCCCTGGTCACATCTCTGCAGATGCTCCTGAGTTCACTCGCATACTTGGGACTTACAGATGTGTTTACCTCTACACTTCGGGACTGCTTTCCCATTTTCTCAAGGTTGTCTTTCTTCAGCTCTGTCACACTTCTGGAGCAAGCATGTCTCTCTTTAGTATCAGGGCAGTGGTACATTGTTCTCATTCTCAAAAGCAAAACCATGTCTGGGACAAGCATTTTCATCTTAATTTTAAATCTGTTGAATTCAAGTTAGATTAAGCCAGGCTCTAAATTAGATGTGTAGAAGCAGGCTTTTTGAATTACCTCTAGAGTTTGCTTTTTACACCCAAGTAGAAATATATTGCCATTTTCACTAGATTTTTTTTTTTTGTTGGTCGGGGGAACGGTTCATTCTGTTTTTCAGACCTGACCAAGTTCCCAGAGATGTCACTTGTGACCTCATTGTAGGCTGTGATGGAGCCTATTCAACTGTCAGAGCTCACCTCATGAAGAAGCCTCGCTTTGATTACAGTCAGCAATACATCCCTCATGGGTACATGGAGTTGACAATCCCACCCAAGAATGGGGAGGTAGGTCTTCTCTGTCCCCATCGCCCTTCCCCCACAGGTGCATCTAGGGAGAGCTAGTGGAGTAGACCAGCAATGTATTTCTGGAAAGAGATTTAAAATTGTGGTTTTCTCATTCCCACATTGTTCCATTGCTAAATAATACACTACGCCAGACGCAAGTAAGTGCTATGGAAATTTTCACATGAAATTATTTTGATAGAAGATTTTATGTTTAAAAACAAAACAAAACTACTTTACTCTGTCAAAATCAAACATAGAAACTTATTTTGGTAAAGGAAACATGAACAAACTTCCTCCTCGTCAAATTGTTCCACTCATTTCCCTGTGCCCGCTGTATGAGCGTCCTGACCTCATGGTTGGAGAGCTGATAACTGGATTCCAGGGTGAGATAGTTCTGTTGACAGGCCAGCCCTGATGTAAGGAAAACAGCACCCAATAAGGCAGCTGTGAGGTAATCACTTACGTTTCAGCCACATGTAATTATTAGTAATGATTAATAGTCTTTTAAAAGGTCTCATTTTTTTCAAGCTACAGTGTCTTGAGACAAATGTGGCCCAAACACAAGGACATCTTAGCAAGCCCCCAAACAATCCTAGACAATGATTTTTTTTTTATTTTTCTCTTCTAAGAGTATTTATTTATATATTTAAGCTTTTGGACATGTATTGTGCACTCACCATATTCTTCTCCAGGACCCTCTGCCCTTCTTTCCTCTCCCACTTTGTCCCTTACACAGTTTTACTTCTACTTTCTTGCCATATATATGCACGATTTTATGTATCTAAGTAAAATCTAGGAACCAAAAATGTGAGAAAACGTATGATCTTGGTGTAAAATCAGCTGAGTTCACTTCCTGGAACTTTCTGCACCTTTCCTTCCTCTCTTCTTTCTCTCTCTCTCTCTTTTTTTTTAATGTACAACTTGCCCTCCACCTCTGAAGTGTGGAGTAGGAAGAGAGACTGGATGCAAGGCCTTTGGGTATTATTAGGAAAATACGTTCTATTCTTTTCATTTCCTAAAGGTTTGTGCACTTAGCTTTACCTTAAAGCTTATATTTTATTTCATTCTTTGAGATTTTTTTTTTACATGTATACAATGACAACTCCCCATCTCCTCTCAACACATACCCCCCCCCCCACCGCTCTGGCTTTGTCTCCTCTTCCTCCTCCTATTTTTATTTTTCATTATTTTTTCACACACTAAGTCCAGTTAGTGCTGCTCATATGTCCATGGATATGGAATCATACACTGAAACACGGGAAACTTACGAGTGGCCCCACTCTCCAAGAAGAAAGATTCTCCCTCCTCTAGCGTTACCACTTGCCAGAGTTCTACGGTAAGGCACAAAGCCTGAAAATCATGTCCCTTATCTATGCAGAAACTTAAGATGCCTTGATTTTGTGTAGCTCTTGTGTGAGGAGCTGTGAGTTCATGAGTGCAATAGCCATGCGTGTCCAGAAACACCTTCCCACAGCCCTCTTCAGCACCCGCCCAGTCTCACATTCTTTCCGCCTCTCCTTCCATGCTCCCCAACTTAACGCAGAGCTGTTAGGGCACAATCAGAAAGCTATCTGGACCTATGTTTTGAGGGACTTCAAGTGAGAGGAACCAGAAGGCAGCTCCAAGCTGCCCTCAGACTGCCGTCGCACACAGGCCTCTCTCAAGAGTGTGGCTTGGTAATAAAGAAGCTAAGGTTTGACGATTGTTTTCTAGGCTTGAGGACTGTTTGTGAACTACCGCGTGTTCTCAGTCGCACGCTGTTCTTGCCATGATACACAAGCCATCCTTTGTGCCAGTGAGAAAGACAGAACCCAAGTGTTGTCTTCTTCACTATCTTAATCAAGCTCTGACCTCTGTTGCTGCCAACGTTGGGAAACCAAGTTAGCTTCTCTTGTTATTTTCCTCCTTGTCTTACTTACATTCTAGAGTTCTGAAAAGACGAGAGAGTGGTAGGAAAATACAATAGATGGCAGAAGAGACAGGCAGAGTATCCACTCTGCTCCCATCCAAGTGCTAGGTGCATCTCGATCTGGTTTAGCTGGTGAAGCTGTGCCAAAGCCCTGCTGATTCCTGCTTAGTTCGCCTGTGCTCTGGTCTTCTGTACAAGGGTCTGTTTGCACTATTTACATGTCAACTCGCTACTTCCCATACTTTCAGTCAGCACTGAAACACTCACACGTCCCACCTCTTACATTACTAAGGCTAAGCGACTTGGCTTTTCATGGGATCTGTACTTCTGTCCCTGTGCAGTCTTTGAAATCAAACAGTTAGGCACTTGATTCTCTCCAGTGTCTGTTTTAGACTTTGTTTAGGGTTCTGGGACAGAAGCAACAACAACAAATAAATACAAAACAGACAATGGAAGAACTGCAAAGTCAGGCAGATACAGACCCTTCTAAGACAGAGTGACTTTGCTACTTCATGACATGGGGAGCCGGGAGACCATTGTTCCTTCCATTTTGTTCTTACTACTTGAACTCAAGACTTTTCTGTGCGGTCTATAAAAGCACTTAGTGTAAAATTATTGAACACAATCCTACACACACAAACATCTACCCACATGTGTGTTTTATATATTTTTATGTGTGCATACATACATATGCATATCGACATGCATACTTATATGTATAGAAAGACAGGGTGAAAGAGAAAGAATATCTTCTAATATATTCTCAAATCTCGAAATAAATGGTTACAAAAATACCTGCCTAAGTTTGAATGTATAAAGATAGAACCCAAAGTATCTTCTAAGACAGCATCTACTTCTTCACGCAGTAATACACGTGCAATGCACCGTATCTATGGGAATGGTCTAGATTATTTCAGAAGCCATGCAAAGCTGTGGTAGAGGTGAGTGACTTGCTAATTGAACATGTGTTCTTTGTCCTACAGTATGCCATGGAACCTAATTTTCTTCATATCTGGCCCCGGAATGCCTTTATGATGATTGCCCTTCCCAATATGGTAATGTGCACATTCCTGCCAGCTACTGATATATCTATAATTGATATTTTTAGTTCTTACTTTTGTGTTGGTTGTTTACATAACCTAGTTGATCTCATCATTATTTAATCTATTTAATGATTTTGTCTTTGAAGCTTTGGGCTTCTGAGGAAAAACCAGAAGCAAGTTCAGTATTTACTTTCGAAAGGAGACTATACTGACGTGGATAATGAAGAGTTCATATCTAAGGTGCTGTCATTTCAATCAGAGGCAGTCTAGGAGCAGGTGCCACAGTAAACCCAAAGAGATTTAGGTTGAGTATTAGAAAGAAATTCCAGTCTTTAAGGTCTGTGGGACATTGGGGTGCATGCATGCGTGCATGCGTGCATGCGTGTGTGCTTTCATTTATCTCCAGGGTTTTTTCTTTATATCTCTAGCTAGCTATGTTCTGTGGTAGTTGTTTTCTTCCTGTTGCTGTCTATCATAGGATCAAGACTTTTTTTTTTTTTTTTTGAAACAGAATTTCTCTGTGTAGCTTTGGCTGAAACTCACTCTGTAGCCCAGGCTGGCCTTGAACTCACAGAGATCTGCTTGACTCTGCCTCCTGAGTGCTGCATTAAAGGGGTGTGCCACCACAGCCAGCCTTGATCAATACTATCTTAAGGGGATCAATACTATCTTAAGGGAAAGAAAAAGAGGAGGAAAACAAATCACATGAAACCATCTATAAACAATCTAAGGACTGCAGCATTTACTTGGTGAACATGGACGGTTTACACAGCAGCAATACTCTGAGTGACCCGGGAAGCAAGGAGCACCTCTGAAACATGGTGGAGCAGCTTTCCTCCAGAAAAAAAGGGGACAAAGCTGGCTGGGATATTCTCCAGGAGATCCTTAGTCCCAGCGATGGTCCTGTGGTTCAGGGGTCCACTCCTAGTGCCAGCATCACAGTCTTTTTTTTAATTTTTTTACGGAGCTGAGGACCAAACCCAGGGCCTTGTGCTTGCTAGGCAAGTGCTCTACCACTGAGCTAAATCCCCAACCCCACAGTCTCTCTCCTCTCACACCTCCTTGTTCTTCTCCGTCACAGGACAAATCTTTCACGTGCACCTTGTTCATGCCCTTCGAAGAGTTTGAAAAACTCCTGACAAGTGATGATGTGCTGGACTTCTTCCAGAGGAACTTTCCAGATGCTATCCCTCTGATGGGAGAGTGAGTCTCAGCCAGAAACTGTACCTTCATTTCTTTTGGGTTGAGTTATTCCAAATCCAAACAAAACTGTTCCGACTTTTCTTGAAAATTGCTCTTAAAATGCACTCGCTGTAAACGAACATTAAAGCCAAAGTCTGAGTGGGCTCTCTGTTAGGAGTAGAGATTCTGGGACAATCATGCCCAATTTGTCCCAGAAACACAAGCACCAGTGTCCCTAGGCTTTGCCCGGGCTCCTGGTATGTGACACAGCAGATGCCTGTCTCAGGCCTGTCCCCTTCCTAGCTGTGTGCTGTCCAATGCTCAGGGCTCCTCGTGGTGAAATGCTGCTAAATGATATTGCCCACCTTGGGCAGGTTGTTGCAGACTAAGTAAGGTCATCCTATACACTGTTCAGCCCAGGGCTCACACGGGTTGAGTTCTGCCCCATCAAGGCTCAGTGAGTTCGCTAGCTAGCTGGTTTATTATCTGCTCCTCATACGGCCCATGTCAGCATCACCCTGCACGTGGACTTTGCTGTATGTTCTCACTTAAGGACTCTGCTTCCTCCAAAACTAAACACACACACACACACACACACACACACACACACACACACACCCTACAAAACAAACACCTAGCTCACTTGCCACTGCAGTGTCCTCTCCAGGGAGACCGAAGAGTGCTGTAGAAACACCTGTGTAGGCTGGCCGCAACAGAACCGCCACACGCTGGGTGGCTTAGAGGTGAGAGACCATTTCAACCAGCTCTGGAAGCTGAAATGTTCAAAGTCAAGGCACCAGAAGGTCTGTGGCTGGTGAGAGCTTCTTCCTGGCTCACAGAAGGTGCCTTCTGCTTGTGAGAACTTCTGTGACTGAAGGGACATGGATCTCCCTTGGGTCTATTTCCTAAGGGCACAAATTGGGTTCAATTTGGGCTCCATGCTCATGAGTGAATCACCTCCCAAGTTCCCGGCTGCAACTACCATCACGCTGAGGATTCAGATTCCACACATGAAACTTGGGGCACATGAACAATCAGGCCAAAGAAAGAGCAGGAGTTTTTGTTTTCCAGGCAGGGCCTTCCTGCTGTAACCCAAGCTGATGTGGAACCCATAATCCTTGTTCCTCAGCTTTCGGTGCTGAAAACACAGCCATGTGCCACCAGGCCTGGTTTACAGTCAGATTTCAACCCAGTCAGCCTCTTACTTCCCAACATGTACCTCCTTGATGATAATCAAGGTGTCTTCCTGATGGTGGGGTTACAAAATCCACAGCTACCTGTGAAAAATGGAAAGTGCAGCCTCAGCCCGATGGGGCTTGCAAAGTGCCAACTGTCATGGGTTTTTGATCTATATAGAGAGATCTACAGCCCTCCACCCTTGAAAAGAACCTACCTGCACACCAAATTTAGATCCTGTGTAGTTTTAAATTGTTCCATGGCTATTTTTTACATCTTTAGACAGATTTAATATTTTTTTTAATTTTTTAAAAAAATTACATTTATGTATTTATTTATTTATTTGTTGAAAGGGGGACACTGTGGCATGTGAAGGTCAGAGGACAACTTGTGGCAGTTAGTTCTTGCTTTCCATCTTGTGATTCCTGGGGACTGAACTCAGATCATCAGGCTTGGCAGCAAGGACCTTCATCTTGCTGGCTTCAGACTTAACATTCTTGAGGACATGTAGTGTTTTCATATTTATAGTTTCTATGAAACCTCTGTTGATGTTTTATGAATATCAGGGTTTTCTTTGTGCTTACCCTAGACATCGTGTTCAACAATATAGATGATGAGTTTACTTCAGTTCAACTGAAATCTTGTGCCCATTGGTCAACTTATTCCAACCTCCTCAGACATAATTTTGATTACTGTTATTCATTTCCTAGAACATAAAAATTCACATTAATCTCTATTTGCTGTGGTCTAGTAAAATATACTGTAACATTTGTTCAGCATTTACACAGGAGTCTAAAATATACTAGTGTGTTTAAAAACAGCCTAAAATATAATAATACATTTGAAAACAGTATGGTCTGTTTACATAATAATGCTTTTATGACATGATATACAGACATTTCAAATTATTCAAATACTGCCAGATTTATCCTTTTGTATGAGATTAACTTTACCAAAAACAATGATAATTAGAACTGTGGAATTGTGTGTATATACATGTTTGTGTTTTAAGTGCACATGTATGTATATATGTCCATGTGGGGGCAGTCTAATGTACATATACCCACACATACATGCATGTTTCTGGAGACCAGAGGCTGATATTTAGGGGTCTTCCTCAGTTACTCGCCACAATATTTTTAGAGACAGGGTCTCTCACTAAACCTAGAGCTTCTTGATTGGCTAGACTGACTTGCCAGCAAGGTATATACATGGGGCCTGATAGATAGGCAGTCTAGCCACTGACTAGTCAAATATTGTTCTGGTGATTGAAATATATTCCAAGTAAAAGTAGCTTGTGAATTTTTTCTACAGAGCATTGACAAACATCTTGCCTCATAAGAACACAAGAAAATATTGATTGAAGAACAGGGAATAAATGCTCAAATTCTGACAGTAGAATGATGGTCAGTCAGCCCCAGAGGTCTTCCTATCTCTGTTTCCCACCCAGAGCTGGGATTATAGACACACACTACAGGCACGCTCTGTGTCTTACATGAGTGCCACCATACTTGACTTTTACATGGGAATTAAGGCTCTGAACTCAGGTCCTCATGCTTGCACGGCCAGGCTTTACCAAATTAGCCTTCTCTGTAGCCTAGAATAGCAGAATTTATTTCTAAAAGAAACCATTTTCTCTTTTCTTCTTTCCCTGGTTCTGGGGATTGAACCCAGGACCTTGTATATGTTAGAGGAGCATTATCCCACTGAACTACATCTCCCTCCTTTGTTTGCTGTTTTACTTCTGCATTCTTGGTTTGTTTGTTTGTTTGTTTGTTTGTTTTTCATCAAAATACCATGGCAATGAAGCCAATAAATCTGTAAGAACTTAGCAGTGGTTGTCCCCAATTAATCTGTTCATGTTTTGATTGCTTTTTTCCAAAGGCAAGCCCTCATGAGAGACTTCTTCCTGTTGCCTGCCCAGCCCATGATATCAGTGAAGTGTTCCCCCTTCCACCTGAAGTCACACTGTGTGCTGATGGGAGATGCAGCTCATGCCATTGTCCCATTTTTTGGGCAAGGAATGAATGCGGTGAGTTCTCTTCCTGTGGGAAAGTTCCTGGAACGTTCCGAAGTCTGTCTCAAATAGTAAATCCTAAATAGAAGTGCTGTCTAAACCATCCCTGCACAGTCCCAAGTACATAACCATTTTGCTCACCACTCCCATTGCTCAGTTAGACTCACTTCAACTCCATCGGATCCAGATTATTTGATACAATATCCCAGTCTAGAGAAAAGCACAACATATGATAAGGCATCCTGTTTTCGTGAGAACTATGTCTACAGCCTAATGTGGAAACTTGGCTAATATGATTGGCAGGCCTAAGTAAAACTACAAACTGATTAGATGTTGAATACTACTACTTTCGTGGAAATTTTGGCATTCTGGTTAGAATGAAATTTTTTAAATATAGTGCTCTTATATTAAATGTTAATATCAAAAATCTTATTAACTTCTTGCATGTATATACATGTACATGTGATAATAGTTTAATAACCACTAGTCATACTTTTCTTTGATGATAGGACCATATTCTGTGGGAGTCCAGCTCCTACCTTTTCAAGGGTTCCTACAAGGAGGAAAGAGGGATAAGAAAATATTAGATAGAAAGATAGTGAAGAAGAGAAAGACAAAAACACAGGATAGCTTCGGGAGGACCTGGGTCAATACCCAATAGCCTTTTCCATTTATTCAAAAGGGCTTTTTATAACAATGCCAAGAGGTGGGGCAAAAGACCCCCTCCTTTCTAGATTGAAGCACACTGCACAGCCAAGTGTAGACCCTTCCAAACACCTGGTAACCATGTTCGTAGTGAAATCATGCCGTTATGCAGCCCTGCTGGGTAAAGCAAGCTCAGATTCTCAAACCTTGAGTAATTTGGGCCTCCACAAATTCCCCCTTCTTAATATTTTAAAAGGCCCCTCAGACCTCTCAGATAGACTGTGCCTGTCTTAGGTCATCTTCTTCTTCATTAATCAGCCTTACCTGTCATGGAGATACACTTCCTGTCAAGTATACTCTGTCTTAGATTGGCAGCTAGCAAAAAGGACTTTACTCGTCTCTGACTACCAGCCTCTAGCAGGAGAAAGTACAGAGCTTAATTCTATGCAGCTCTGACTCAGATCCCTACTAAGAGCTTGCAAATAGATGGAACAACCACAGCAATACTCCTGCTACCTCAGGCTGCCACATCTCTCAGTGAAGGAATAAAGGATGACCAAGACGGAATGTCCTCTTTGAATGGGTCTAGGATATCTATAGCAGCCTCAGCTACACCAAGACCTTTTTTAAGTCAATAAACTCCTGATGCAACAACATCAACATCTGTAAACTCCTGATGCATTCATATCAAACCTAAAGACTCCCGTAGCTGTTGTAAAACTCTTCAAAAGGCTTTTTGCTCAGCTAGTAGGAATCAGAAACCATCTCTTAAAGGAGCCATGCACTGGTTTGCTGCTAACAACCAGAAGTAGTGTGGCTCTGGGCTCTATTTCATTCCAGCTTTTACATTCTCAGTACTTGAACACCAAATAGTGACAAAACCTTTATCCCAAACTCCTTCTCAGCAGTCTGGGGGACTCCTTAGTCTCCTTCTTTCCCCAGACTACAGGAGAACATCAGTAGATCAAGAACACTGACTCCTTTTCCCTGATTTTTTTTTTGATCAGGAAAATAGAATCCCAGCAAGGATTAGAGGGTTTGATATGGCCACCATCCAACTGTTCTTGTACTAACTGCTGGATAGCTTGTATTTTTTCTTCTGTCAGGGGCTATTGATCTATTCACACAGGATTGTCAGATTTCCAAGTTATAAGATCTGCCTGGAGTACAGGCTGCTCAATGACCCTTCCTAAAAATACTCTAATCCATCCCTATTAACCCCTTCTTTAGGGAGCAAAGGTAACATTTGACCCTCACTAGTTTTTACTAACTCCTGGTCGGGAACCTTTGTTCAGTGACAACTGTATTGGGGCCATATAAGTATACTTCCATATGGCTCAAAACAACTCAACTCCACAGATTTACAGGCAAGTGAGAGACAATAATGTATGGCTGAAAGGTTCCTTCATGACCTTCCTCATCTCTCCAGGAGAGTTCATTGCTGCTCTGCTCAGGACTCTGAGTTTGACCAATCCCTTTCAGTTGTGTGATAGTTTCCATCTTTGGCCACACGGAAGGCCATTGACCAGCAGTTATAACTGACAGATCCACACCAGTGTCTAGAAAACCTGAGAAACTTTTTCTGTTTATAATCAAAGTGAGTTCTCGATGCTGTGGACCTATGGCTCATAGCCAATAGAAATCTGACAAACCAAATCCAGCCTCTCCTCTCTTATCCCTTTTAACAGGATTTCTTGTTGCACCTGAAGAAGTAAAATTAACTGTGCAAGTCTCTGGCCTGTCTTTATTACAGAAATTCCCTTAGGTGAGTGAGTCATCAACTTAAATTCTCCAGTGTAATCAGCATCAATTACTCCAGGAGCAACAAAGATTCCCTGCATGGTAGTACTACTTCTTCCCAAACTAACCCTATAGTGCCTTCCAGCAAAGGCCCATAAACACCAGTAGGGAGGGCTTGCACCCCCATTTCAGGAGTCAAAACCATATAGATAGAAGAGCTGAGATCTAATCCAGCACTACCTTGGGTTGCTCTGTAGAGGTCCTGAATGTATTTCTTTGCTGGGACTGCAGAATTACCCCATAAATCTACTCTGTTAGGGCCTGGGGCTGGCCCCTCCATCCATTTCCCTGGAAAGGATTCCCCTGGGTATCCATTCTTGATAGACATTTATAGCCCAAAGCATCCTTCTTTTGCATCTCAGGAACAACCCAGGTTTCTTATTTGCCCTTAAGCTTTTTCCCCTTTCAGGACACCTTTTGACTTGGTGTCCTATCTGGCTACACCCAAAGCAGCTTCCTGGTGGTCCTACAGCTCTTTCTTGTCTTGAATCATAATTTCTTTGCTAGTAAAGAACATCCTTGCCTGTTTTTCCCTGTAATGCTGCAGCCATGACTGTTCCCTGATTATATAGGGGCCCTTTATATGAGCAAAGTCAAATATAGTCAGAGATGTTTCCTTTCTCTCTAAAAGGTCTCAAAGCAACTTGATAAGTAGCATTAGCATTTTCATAGGCAAACTGTATAACAAGGAAAAGTCCAGCTTCTGAATCCCCAGTTAACCTGCCTGTTGTCTGCATTAACCTAGAGACAAAGTCCTGAAACAATTCATTAGGCCCTTGTCTTATCTTTGATAAATCCTCAGTCTGTCTTCCAGATGATGGAAGCTTATTCCAGGCCTTTTTGACAGCTGCATTAACCTGAGCATACACTGCCACATCAAAATTTAACTGTTGACCTATCTCCCGATAAAGACCGTCTCTGGCAAGTATATCAAAAGTAGTGGGAATTTGTTGGACCCAATTTATTTTAGTTGTGGCCTGATGTTGCTCCACAAACTAACTTTTCCAAAGCAAATAATATATGCCTGACAAGCAAGCTCTGGCCATCTGTTTTCAGTCCCCAGGAGGCAAGGCTTCTAGAGCTAGGCTTTCTAACAAAGCTTGCATAAACAGGGTGGTCAAGCCATATTGGTTGCATGCTATTTTTAATTCCTTACATTGTTTAAAAGGAATTGGAACATGCACTCACATGATATTATCCTGGGCATCTTGCTGCTCAATTACAGGGAACATTTGAAATCCTTGCACCCTCTCCCCTCTGCTAGCTGCTTCTCTAATACTGGCTTGAAGGGGGAGATTGCTGGACTAGCCACAAGGGTTTGCCATGTTCTGGGAAGCTTTTGCACCAGGGCAATTATGGGCAACTTTTCCCTTCTGATAGATGACCCCCCCCAGATGAGTCTAATTCTGCCACTACAGAAGGAAGATGAGTACCCTTCTGAGAAGGAAAGACCTGAAGAGCCTCCAATTTTTGAGAAAGAGAAATTACTAAGTCTGTCAAGCCCTTCACTTCCTCCCTTGTCTCATCTCAAGACTTCTGTTCCATAAACTCGGCTTCATGGCCAAGAGGGGACTGACCCTGATTGAATGATTTTTTAAAAGCATTCCCATCTGGTGGCAGCTTTGGTGGAGTGGAAGGTTTTGTTTCATCTGTGTCTGTCTCAGGGAAAATTCCCCTGCCACTCAGGACTCAGATCCAAACTGTCTGGAACTAGTGCCCACAAGCCAAAATCTTCCACTGGGATCTTTTCTGTCCCATGTTCCTCATAATGTTGTTGTATTTCAATTCCAATCCTCCCCCATGAGTCTGTGTCCAGAGTCCCATAGTCAGAAAACCAAGGACACTGTTCCTCTATAAAAATAAAGAACGTTAACTTTTAGCTGCTCTGCTATATATATAATTTTACTCCTGAAGAATAGAATACCACTGCTTAATCCTTAATTCGTAACCACACATGTCCAACTGCTTCCATGGTGGCCCCTACTCTCTTTTCCTTGTCTCCTCTAGACCCAAGTCCCAAGTTCTGGCATCATCTGTGGGAGCCCGCTCCCACCATTTCAAGGGTTCCTATGAGGAGGAGAGAGGGATACGAAAATATTAGATCGAAAGATAGTGAAGAGGAGAATGACAAAAACACAGGATAGTTTCAGGAAGATCTGGGTCAATACCCAGTGGCCTTTTCTGTTTATTCAAAGGAGTTTTTCATAATAATTCCAAAAGGCAGGGCAAAAGACCTCCCCCTTGCCAGATCAAAGCACACTGCACAGCCAAGTATAGACCCTTCCAAACACCTAGTAACCATGGTCAAATCATCCCCTTATGCAGCCCTGCTGGGTAAAGCAAGCTCAGATTCCAGTCCCTGAGTAATTTGGGCCTCCACAATATTCCAATTAAAAGTAGCTTGTGACTTTCCTACAAAGCAATTTCAAGCACTTGTTTCATAAGGACATAAGTAAACATCAGTTATAGCATTGTGGATAAATGCCCACGTTCTGGAAATAGTTCAAATCTTGCCTCAGGGATTCATTACACAATGTGTTTTTCGTAACTTACCTGATATCCACATATCCACCTTTCACCTCTAACACTACAATTTTACTAATGTCTACCCCAATACTTGCAGAGAAAAAACAAATTATTTTAAATGAAGATGTATAACTGTTGTCTTTGCCTTATATGTCATCTCTTACGTCAAAGTTCCTATATCATAAAGAATTTGCAGATATTCGTTGAAGAATACATTTGCTACTTTAAATGCAATCACTATAATTGATATGAAAATTATATTTTATGTATTTTTACATTGTCTCTAAAACTGTAGTTTGAATTTGTAGATAATGGAACTCAGGGTTCTTATTCATTTAGTATCACCTTAGTAATTTTTCAAGTTCTTTGTATTCAAAATCTGTTTTAAATTTGAGTTATAGGAACTAAATTAATTTGATCCTATCATTAATTTTTTTAGCAATAATGGAGATTGAACCTAAGGCCTCATGCATGGTGGGCACAGTCCTCAACCACTGAGCTATATGCTCAGCTCAATAAATCATTCTATACATGAATCTTACAGACCCGACTAATTTACAACTAACTCATGGTAAAGACACGTAATTGTTAGTCTTAAAGGAGCATTGGGATCCACCAAAATCACAGATATATGTAATTTTTTGTTGTTCATTTTCAAATCATTATAATCATTGAAGATATCAATGAGGCAGAGACAGCATGAGGGTCCAGCAGCTGGTCTTTGTAGCATGATTAGACATAAGATGGGTACCTGTCTGTTACATTAAAGATTGCCAGTCTATGCACTATACTGGCCAATACTAGTTCTCTTTATAATTGCTATGAAGTATTTCATTATTTATGCCTTATTTTTACCCATTTTTCTTGTTTCAGGGCTTTGAAGACTGCTTGGTATTTGATGAGTTAATGGACAAATTCAATAACAATCTTAGTAAGTATACTTTCTCAGGAGGATGTAGACTAGCCCAGATGATCAGTTGTGGGCTGACTTATGATCCTGGCACTCTAATAATGTCTCTGCCATAGTCATTGCCCATTCCAGAGAGTGACCACCCAGAGAGAGTAACCTAGAATTCATGGAGGAAAGTGCTGGTCATCTTTCCATTACTATAACAATACCTGGGATAATCAACTTAGAAAAGGTTTACTGTTGACATTTACCAGACTTTTTCTTTTGAGCTACCAACCAGCTCCCAAATCATGACACAGTGACTTATTATTAGTTATGACACGTTTAGCTTAGGCACATTTCTGGCTAGCTCTTTTAACTTAAATTAGCCTGTTTCTCTTTATCTACCATTTGCCTTGGGGCTTATTGCCTTTCTTACTTCTGTATATCTTACTTTCACTGCTTCTCTGTATCTGGCTGACTGGCGTCTGTCTGGTTTCTTGCCACAGGCATGTCCCTCATTCTCTCCTCCTCCTTCTCTCGTTCTTCCTTCTTCTTTTCTCCTGAGCCTCGATTTCTCCTACTATTTATTCTCTCTGCTGCTAGCCCCACCTATCCTTTCTCTGCCTAGTTATTAGACATTCGACTCTTTATTAATCAAGTGCCTTAGGCAGGCAAAGTGAAAAGAATGCAACACATCTTGACATTGTTAGACAAGTGCAACATAAACAAAAGTAACACACGTGTACACAGTTGAAGTAATATTCTGCAGCATACACAAAGGTAACACATCTTTGCCTACTTAAAATAATATTCTACACCAGTGGCTCTCAGTTTTAGAAGTTCTAGTCTATGATCAGTTGGCCCCTTGCTCTAGGCCTGTGGAGAGGAAACATCGTGGTGCGGAGCCAGAAGCAGAGAAAAAGTCACTCACCTCCTGATCTGGAAATGACAGAGAAAGACAGGGAGACCTAGGACCCACAGCCCCCTCTAAGGGCATACCTCCAGTGACTCAAGGACCTCTTGGTAGGCCTCATGCCTGTAAGGTCCTACCACTTCCCAGTAGCAGTGACCCACTGACAGATAAAAGTTCAGAGCAGCAGCAGCAGATCTCTGTGCACCTTTCTCTGCCTTCCAGCTCTGGAGGTCCACCTTTGCCTACAGCCTTCACAGCACACCCCCAGACACACTCAAGCTCTCAAAGAAACACACACACAAAAAGAGTTAAAGCGGAGGGTTGAGCATCATTTAAAGTTGCCATATGAACCTGTGCAGTTACTTGTTGCTGTAACTAGAGAAGCAACTTGAGGAGGAAAAGGTTTGCGTTGGTTTATAGTTCGAGGGCCATGGTTCATGGCACAGGGAAGGCATGGAGGCAGAAGTGTGAGTCACATCCGCAGTCAGGAGGCAAAGAATTGCTGGTGCTTGTTCCACTTTCTCCTTTTTATTCATTCTGGGACATCAGCCCATCGGATTAATGCTGCACACACTAAGGGTGGGTCTTTCCTCTTCGGTTCTACCTCTCTGGCATCATCCCTATAGACACATGTCCGGAGATGTGTTTCCATGGTAATTCTAAATCCAATCAAGTTCTCAATATAGATTAGCCATCACAAATTTTTTCCATTTGGGAAATAAGGGAAATGATGATTTAAACAACCAATATCCTAATATTAGTTTTATTCTAACCTTTATTTGATCACAACAGGAAATACTCAATGGACATTGCTCAATTACTATAGGTTGTTGTTATCGATAGTTTTATAAGATTAAAATTTTGCAAGGGGAAACACTGCTTAGTTTGACCTAGCTGGAGACCAGCAGTTTTTAAAAAATTTTATTTTGCTTTGTTAAAAGATTTATTTATATGTCTGTGTGTGAGTGTATAGCATGTGTGCACAGGTGCTCTCAGAGGTCAGAAGATGGCATTAGATCTTCTAAGCCAGAGTTACAGGTAGTTGTGAGCCACCCAAGGTGGGTGCTAGGAACAGAGCTCAGGTCCTTTGAAAGAGCAGCCAATGCACTTAACCACTGAGCCATCTCTCCCACATATTTTCTGTATATTATTTTAAACACATATATGTTTTATTTAATTTTGATTTCTAGGTATGTGCCTTCCTGAATTCTCAAGATTTAGGATTCCAGATGACCATGCAATTTCAGACCTGTCTATGTACAATTACATAGAGGTGAGAAAAGTTTGGCTCCATTCCACGAGACAGTTCATCAATAGATTAGAAAGAAGGCTTTTTCTTTTCCTATGCTCCAGCCCTGTCTCATACATGCTGCATAAGAATATGTGTGGACATAAGGACACATATACACATGCAGTAGACACATGCAAGTATGCACATGTACACACACACACACAACACACACACACCATTTCTTAAATATAGGTGGATTGCTACGATGTAGCCAATGACAAAGACTCATCATTTCTACCTGATTTCAGAAGCACTTTGAAAAGAGCAGAGATAGCAAAACATCTAAAATTTCACAGGTCCAAATTTCAGACATTTAGTAGGTAGCCATATTCTATTCTCAAAATATGAATTTGAGATACATTAAAATAATTGTGAAATCTTAGAAATATTGAATGGCTTTTCTTTTTCTTTTTCTTTCTTTCTTCCCTTCCTTCTTTCTTTCTTGAGAAAGGGTTTCTCTGTGTAATAGCCCTGGCTGTCCTAGAACTCGCTCTGTAGACCAGAGGGGCCTTGAACTCAGAGATCCACCTGCCCCAGCCTCCTGAATGCTGGGATCAAAGGCCTGAATGACTTTTTCTTAACAGAATATCCTGAGTATTTAGAATACCATGGAATAAAAACAGTATATAATACCAAAGAAATTCTTGATCAGAAAGATGAGTACTATTAAGACTTATACTCCATTTTAAGCCAGTCATGTCAAAGTCTCATGACAAATGATTGTTATTATTGCTTTAAAATAGGGGTATGGAAAAGTTTACACAACAAACAAGGGAAATAGTGACCATTTCCACTTCTCTTGAAGACAGAAAGAAATAATGTTGGCTTCAACTTGAGCATAGTTTTAACAATACACAATTGAGTTCTAGAAGATAATGGAAGACTTTGTTGATATACATTGCCTGACTCCAAAAGTAGGTCATGGGCTGGGAGATGACTCTGGGTGAGGACACTTGTTGCTCAAGCCTGAGGGTCTGAGTTCTAATCCCCAGGATGCATGTAAAAAGCTGGAGTGGCCATGCCCTCGGAGCTCCAGAGTAGTGAGAGCCTTGCTTGCTATCAGAATAACTCCAAGTTCAATTAGAGACTCTACCTTGCTGGAATAAGGAGGAGAGTGACAGAGCAGGTATTGGTTGATTTTGCTCTTTTGGGAGTGCGCACCACCTAGCTCCCAAATGAATCACACACGGAGGCTTATTCTTGCTTATGACTTCCCAGCCTTATTCTTACTTATGACTTCCCAGCCTTAGCTTGGCTTGTTTCTTGCCAGCTTTTCTTAACTTTAAATTATCCCGTCTACCTTGTGCCTCTGGGCTTTTTCCTTTTCTTACTTCTGTATATCTTACTTCCACTGTTACTCTGTAGCTGGTTATGTGGCTGTGTGGCTGGCCTGTTACATCCTCCTCCTCTCCTTCTCCTCCATGCTCCTTCCCCTCCTCCTCCCATATTTCTCCCTCTATGTATTCTCTCTGCCTGCCAGCCCCGCCTATCCTTTATCCTACCTCGATGTTGGCTGTTCAGCTCGTTATTAGACCATCAGGTGTTTTAGACAGGCACAGTAGCACAGCTTCACAGAGCTAAACAAATGCAACATAAAAGAATGTAACTCATCTTTGCATCATTAAAGCAAATGTTCCACAGTATAAACAAATGTACTACATCTTGAAATGATATTCTACAACAATCAGGACTCCTTTCTGGACTCTGCATGCATGTGCACATAGAAGTGTGCATACCTATGCACATATACCACACACATTCAACACAGACACACACACACACACACACACACACACACACACACACACACTAAAAGCCAATTTAATATAACACAGGGCAACAGTAATCAATCAAACCTTTGAACTTACAGATCATTCAAAATTCTGGTTAAATATATCTTTCGCTGAAACAGAATTTTTTATATTGAAATTGTCTTCTGGGAAAAAGCAGACTAGATTTTGTATGTTTTCAAGGCAATGTCTTGTACTCCTGAAATTTCTTAAGGGCACTTGGGGATGACTATTATGGAAATGGGATTTTATTTGACTCTTGTGTTAGCATCCATTGTTGGGACAACTGTGAATGAAGACTAGTAGAAAACTGTAGTCAGGAAAGAGAGCTGCTTCCTTTAAGGTACTCTTTTCAAAACTCCTGTCATTGCAGATGCGAGCACATGTCAACTCTAGGTGGTTCCTGTTTCAAAGACTCCTGAATAAACTTCTTCATGCTATTATGCCATCTACCTTTATCCCTCTCTATACCATGGTAAGGACTGAATTAACGACTTTGCCTCATTTTATCTCTGTGTAGCTATTAAAGAATGCACTACATGCTTTTAAATCTCCCTGCAGGTTGCCTTCACCAGAATAAGATACCACGAGGCGGTGCAGCGCTGGCATTGGCAAAAAAAGGTTGGAAGAATTTGACCATTGCAAACTGTGTGTGTTGAAGTGTTATGTAGTTTCATGCTCATATTTATTTCAAGGAAATACAGACAGGACAGGACAGAGACATTATGCTTATCTTCCAAGTAAAACCTGCCCTGAGTCTACAGAGTACAGAGCATACACTCTGCATGGTGGGGGAAAAAAGCAAAGAGAAATTTGAAGAGGAAAATGAGGCTGATATTTTTCAGCTTTTTATTTTGTATTAGCATCATGAGTCACTCTTGACTTTTGCATTATGTGGTATCTTTGTGGATTTAACTTGTAAAATCACACAGAACTGTGTCACTTATAACATACTATCCAGTGGAATGTAGTGATGCATTCATTTTGAGAAGCTGACCCAGGAGTGCCATTAAATGCAATTCAGATTCCTGACTGCTTTGGGAATTTTATAACTTCATTTGTGGATAGTTTATTGGGTGCATATATACTGAGCCAGATACTTTAGTGGACAAGATGTAGTGCCAATCCTACCTGTGGCTCAGGAACTAATAGGAAAGGTGGCCAAATATGGCAGGGAATGCCTCATGAACTACCGCAAGGAGAATGAGTGTAGGCTAGGTAATGAAGGCTGAAGATGCACTAGCCAGGAGGCCCAGGGTGTAAGAGTGGCCAGCTGGAAGCTGGAGAGGTAAGGAAGGCCTTCAACATCCTGCTGAAACAGAAAGACCGGTCTACGGAAAGCTGAGAGACCTAAGAAGGCTTAAACACCCAGGCTAGGATTTTAGGTCAGTGACTTTGCTGTGTAGAGAATGGGATGGAAAGAATGAAGATCTACCTGTAAGCTCTGCTTCCATAAAGATGAATAAAATAGGGGCTGAGAAGATTGTTCTGTGGGTAAAATTCTTTTTTCACAGTCATGAGAGCCTATGATGAGACCCTGTTTGTAACCCTGTTCAAGGGTGAGGGTTGGGGTAGATTCAAGGGCCTTGATTGCCAAAACAGTGAGTTGCAAGTTCAGTGAGAGACTCTGTCTCAAAACAATAACGTGGAGAGAGAAGGGGGAAACAACCTGACATTGATCTCTGGCCTCTACCATGTGTACACAAAAGTGCACCCCCTACCTGTGTACACACAACACACATACATATATACCCAATAAAATAGTGTCCCCAACCTCAATGATAAAAACATGCAAAGGAGAAGAGCCAAGCAGGCAGAGTGCACTGAAATAAGGGCGGAGACAGAACAGAGGTCAAGCAATCACGTTGCTGCTTCAAGTTAAAAGCAACAGAGAGCTGCACGCTTGTCTGTGATGTAGGAAGACTCCTGTGCGTTTGTTTGTGATATAGAGAATTGCACACTAGTCTGTGATATAGAAGACTCCTGTACACTTGTCTGTGATATAGGGAGAGAATTGCACACTCATCTGTGATGTAGAAGACTCCTGTGCACTTGTCTGTGATATAGGGAGAGAATTGCACAC